AGCGCCTCGCCTCGCTCCTCACACACGCACACACACACACACACACACACACTCCGGCTGTCCTCACACACCCCGCCTGAACACACACACACACCGCCTGTCCTCACACAGCCCTCCTCGCCCACACAGGCTCAGCCCTCCTCAACAGCCCCCGCCTGTCCTGGTGTGGACAGCCCTCCTCACACACACACACGGTGTGGACAGCCCTCCTCATACACACACACACTCACAGCCGGCCTGTCCTCACGTACAGCCTGACACACACACACAAACGCCACCTGTGCTCACACACACACATCTGCCTGTACTCACACACACATCTGCCTGTACTCAGCCCTCCTTCCACACACACTGGGTATCCTCACAGCCCTCCTCACACACACATCCGCCTGTACTCACAGCCTTCTGTACAGACACACACGTGTCCGCCTGTAGTCACATCTCTCCTCACACAGTGGTTATACTCGCAGGCCTCCTCACACACTTGTCTGCCTGTACTCACAGCCCTCCTTCCACACACACTGGGTATCCTCACAGCCCTCCTCACACACACATCCGCCTGTACTCACAGCCTTCTGTACAGACACACACGTGTCCGCCTGTAGTCACATCTCTCCTCACACAGTGGTTATACTCGCAGGCCTCCTCACACACTTGTCTGCCTGTACTCACAGCCCTCCTTCCACACACACTGGGTATCCTCACAGCCCTCCTCACACACACATCCGCCTGTACTCACAGCCTTCTGTACAGACACACACACATGTCCGCCTGTAGTCGCATCCCTCCTCACAGGCCTCCTCACGTCTGCCTCACAGCCCTCCTTCCACACACACTGCATATACCCTCCTCACGCACACGTCTGCCTGTACTCACAGCCCTCCTTCCACACACACTGGGTATACCCTCCTCACACACGTCTGCCTGTACTCATAGCCCTCCTTCCACACACACTGGGTATACCCTCCCCACACACGTCTGCCTGTACTCACAGTCTGTGTCACACACACACAGCTGTACTCACACACAGCCCTCCTCACACCCCCACACATCCGGCCTGTGCTGACAGCCTTCTTCACACACACCAGGCCTTCTCACACACACAGCCTCCATGTACAGACAGCGCCTGTTCCTGCAGGCAGCCCCCCACGCTTCCTGTCCCCAAACACATCCACAGCCAGCTCACACCATGCAGCAGCCCCCTCACGCCTGTACCTACATCTGTACGCTGCCCAGTCTCTACGTACATCCCTCCATCCCTTCACACGCACATGGAAGTCCCATGCCGTACACACACCTCACACTCACACACTCCTACCCCTTCCACACCGTGTCCCACAGGTCCCTGAGATGGTGAGGGGCCACTTGTCCCATCCTCTCCGCCACCCCTGAGGCACTGCCATGCTGGGGCTTTCCCCCCCCCTCAGGCATCAACCCAGAAGATAAAATGTCGATGATCACCTTCGCTTTCCCTTACCCACTGACCTGGGGGTGTCACTGTCCCTTCTTCACCCACGCACTGCTCTTCTCCAGGTGTCTCCTCAGCAGCCCCTGCAGCAGTTACATGGTTGGTGATTAGTCCCCAGCTCCAGATGGCTCTGCAAAACTTGTACCTTGCCGTATTTCCTCTCCTACAGGAACTAACAGGCTGACACCAAAAAATACCCCAAGAAACTATCAGTCTTTGGTACATAACACCTTTACAGCAAGTCTGCCTGTGAGGCCTGACAAAGTACAGCACAGCAGGTGACCAGCCACCCCCCTTGAGTATTTCTCCACCTTGGAGAAGTGAACCCCAAGGAAGAGCTACACCTCCAATGGTCAGCATAGGTGGACTCAGGGCACTGCTGGTCTCTGTCACGGCAGGACATCTACACTCGCTCCTCAGCTCTGGCGCCGAGCTGGAGAATCACCTCATGTTGCCTGAGCCCAAGGTGTCAGCCCAGGATCCCTCCTCACAGTCCTGATGGCCAAAAAAATATCCCTCACGAAACTCTTTGCTGGAGTTAAGTGGTTGATGGCACAAATGGTCATACCCTGTACCAGGGCTGGGCACAGCCACCGCCTGCACTCTGAACCCCCAGTTCTCATAAAGCCCTGAAACAGCTACACAAGACTGCCCAAAACCTTGACATCTGCCAAAAGACATCTATTTGAAAAAGAACAGGGCTTTCGTTAAAATTCGCTTTGCGTGTTAGAAAAAAAAAACCCCAACATCCCAAATCTGAGAGTCCTCAGGTCCCAGTAGGGCACAGGGCTCTGCTTTCGTGCCCCAGTGTGCGCAAGGAGCACAGCTGAGCGAGGAGCGCACCTCGGGGGGTGAACATTGGTCAGCCAAAAGAGTTCAATGTGCCGGGGGGGCACCACTGTGGTATTTCCCCCTTTCAGAGCCAGGCGGGGTAGCACGTGCCGGCACAGCCATCGGGGACACCGCGGGACGGCAGGGCTGGCTCTCCCCCGGCTGCTTCTGCAACCGCTCTGCAGAGCGGAAAATAATTCAGTAGGACACAGAAAAATTATCCAGAATAAATATTTACAAATCGCATCATGGGGCGCTTGGTAGTTGCACACGAAGCAGTGGTCAGTCACATGGTGCTGGCCTGCTCTTTCCAGATGCTAAATTGTTTTTTTAAATGGATAGTAACAAAACCATGTCGGAACTTCCCTGCTGCTCCTCTTCCAGGTTAAGCAATAGCTGTGGTCACCGCCGGGGCGTTGGGCAATGGGAGGGAGGGGAGCTGGAGGATACAGCCTGGGAAGGAGCGGGCTCCTGCAGTGCCTCATCTCCCAACACCAAACCCCACTCCCACGGGTGCCGCCGACTCTCACCGTGGTGACCCCAGTCCTTCCAGAAGGCTTCTGGTGCATCCTGGCAGGGCATCGCTTGCATTTGATGCCTCTCCCGTGGCAGTGAAGGGTGCATCTCCGCTGAGGGAAGCCAAGACCTGCAGAAGGAAGATGCTGGCACTTTGAGAGCCTGGTCCAAGGTTGCCTGGCAGAAATTGGCTTGTCCCAGCATGCGTGGGTGAGGGAGGTTCTCCAGGCCCATTGCATATGACCTGACACACCCAGGTCCTGACCCATCCTTGCTCCACCCGGCTCTGTTTTCCTTCTTTTCCCTTCCAGAAAACAGGGGAGTGTCCCCATGGTCCCACCAGGACTTTGGGCTTGGTGTGAAGAGCTCATGCATGCTCCCTGGTGATGTGGGGAGCACTCTGCTCCCTATGCCAGCTCCTGAGCCTTCCCACCACCCCAGTCCCCTCTGCTTGCACTCTCCTTCCTGTGCTGAGACAAGGTTCTCCATGGGCTCTGAAAGGTGAAGCTCAGACTGCTCCTCTTCCTCGTAGCCAGGCCCTCAGTGCAGGTTTACAGCTGAACCTGTGCAAAAAATCTGTGGCCAAAACACAGCATTGACCCGCTTCTCTCCCCTAGCTGCCCCATGGTGCTCCCCCCATCTCACCAGCAGCCAGGCCTTCTCCATGGCTTTTGGTGCTGTCTCTGCACTCAAGCCCTGAATTTTCCCCCTCCTGAGCTACACTCCTTCCTCCTGCATGGAGTTCTCCAAGCCCCACTCAGTGCCACCTGGGTGGGACTTGTGTCACCTCCTCCAGCAAAGGGCTTAGGCCATAAATGCACCTGCAAGCCTGGCGAGGCCAAGAGGAGGAGCTGGGACACCCATTGAGACCTGTGTGCTTTGAGAGCAGCCTGGCCCACCGCAGGGAGGTCCCTTCACCCCCAGCTGCTTGCTCCATCAACAGCCACCCCTGCACCCACCCTCAGCCAAGGGAAGCACAGGGATGCAGGCTGCTCCAGCTCAGCATTCCCACTGCTGCCTCCAATGTGTTATACCCTGGGGACCACAGCTATGGGGCCATTTACTAAAATTTATTCACCTTTCTGCCTCAAGACCGCTGCTTAGCTCTCCTCTTTCTTTCTTCTCTCCACCTTTCCACTCCCCAGCACCAAGCCCACACATCCTGGTCCCTCTCCCACAAGCACACACAGCTTCAGGCTGTCGCAGCCTCAGGCTTTCCCCAGTGAGACCTCCCCCTCCGTGCCCTAACACCACTGTGTCCATCCAAGGCAGCCCCCAGACCAGAAATGGGCACCTGCCTGGTCCCTGCTCGCTGCGAGGGGGTGAGCATCGGGTGCTAGAGAGGGCTGTCAGATCCAGGAGAGCTGCAGGAGGCAAGCAGGTCCCTCTGGGAGAGGAAGCATCAGGAGCAGAGGAGAGGGCAGCAGGGCTACAAAAACCACAGGAGAGCTCAGTGCCCAGGAGGACATGCAGATCCACCAGCTCTGCCCTGGAAGTGCCACCGGGCAACTGGATACATAACACAAGAGATACCCCCACACTCTAAAGCCACGCTGCTGTCTCCCACTGGAGACAATTGCCCCAGTCACGCCAGAGCAGCCCCCGCTGAGAGATGACTCAAGGGACGGGTGTGTGCTTTCATGTCCAGTTTTATTAGTGTTGCATTAGTACCATAAAATAGTTGACGAGGTTGAGCACGTTGCAGTTTGTTCCAAAAAAAGGCTATTTACATTTAATCTGTCTTCATTAAAAAAAAAAAAACAAACCAAAACAAAAACAACAACCTAGAACCCAAACAATACAACAATGAAACAGATGGACAACTCGGGAATCTACAAAGTGGTAACGTCCCCTCGTATGCCACATTCCAGACGAGGCTGGTGACATGCAGCCCCAGCATACCCAGTACCCACGCTCGCAAGGTGCTTCCCTACAGCCACGGCACATACACAAATGGGAAAGCAGCAGCTGACTGGATGTTGCCCCAGGCTGGTGCTCTTCCTTAAGGAAACCAGTGACCTGCTGCTTTCCAAGCTGGCATGTCCCTTTCCTCCCCTAGTCTGTCCCAAAGCAGCCAAGTGACCCTGCAGGAGCCAGCCCTGCCAGGAGCATGTCCCACGAGAAATTCCCCATCAGGAAACCTCCGAGAGATGCTGCTGCTCATTTCTGGCCTTCTCCCTGCCAAATAAGCCTGGAGGGAGTGTCACACTAAAATGCCACCACACAGCTATCCACTGAGATTGAGATCCCCCAAAAGAAGGGGGCAGAAGTACTGCATTCAGCCTAACTTCAAGAAAGCTCCAGGGTCCCCAGCCCTTTACCGCTGCACAGCAGGACTGCCCCAATTCCAGCCTTCCCGATCCCTCGGCACACCAAGCAGCAGGAGAAGGCCACCAGCTCTGCTGCCTCTCAACAGGATTTTCTTCTTAAGCTTGGAGGTGCTGGATGCAATGCCCTCCCACCCTGGCTCTTGAGTACTCCCTCCAGCACACACTGCTGGTAAGAAGCACGGTGAGGCCTTTGCTGCGATGGCAGGTTAAGCACAGGGCAGCGTGGTTCTCAGCCAAGTTTGATGATGGAAAGCAAACAGGCCTATCTCCAGCCCCAGAAACCTCCCAGCCACCTACCACTGCCCTCTCCGCAGGGTAACGCCACAAGCGTGTGCTAATTAAAGCAGCAAAACACAGCCAAAGAGACAGTGGCTCTCCCCAAACTCATGCGTAATTAAGGAGCACGCTGCAGTTATCGCCGGGATGTAACCGGGAACAATTGAACTGGATGGAAACTGCAGCGCTGAGCTAAAAACAGCCGCCCGAGATGCCTGCGAAATCACCGGCGCCGCAGGAGAGAGCCGGCAGCTGATGGAACACTGGCAGGGCTGAGGCCGAGCCTTTGTCTCCGGGAAACTCAACCCCAAGGACCAGGAGGCACTCAAGGTGCAACGCGACGCCGCAGCAACCGTCCATCTCTCATCCGCTCGCCAGAGCTGTTAAACTAGGCCAGTGCCCCACAGCCCCGCGCAGCAGCGAGCCCTTCCCCGAGACCTCACCTCTGAGCCAGGCAGGGGCACTTCGCCCAAGAGCAGCTGGAAACCAAACTGGCAGTGCTGAGAAGCCAAAGCAGGAGATGAGCTCTGCGGGGAGCAAGGGCAAGCCACGGGACACAAAGGGTCAGGGAAACCAGGGGACACCAACTTCAAAGCACGTCCTGGCCAGAGATCAGCTCAGATGCTGCCCGCTCCAGCCCCTGCCTTTGCCATCAGACCCCATGGCTCCAAATCAAGCCCCATCTAATGCAGGAGGGCAAGATAATGCCTCTGTGTTTCTTCTTTTGAGTTGCACCTTCCTCACCAAAACCCTCAAAAGCTGAAGATGGATCAGTGCTGTCTCTGCTCTAAGCCATCCTTTTGTATTCACCAACTCGCACACAACCACCTACCCCACCAAGCTGGCACAGTTCTGCAGGCATGGACCCATCACTGTGCTGGCAGCTCTCCCTGGCCCCACAGCAGGGATCTCTCTGGCTGGTGGGGCTTGCTTGTGGGAGGGTCCCCTGGGACACTGGTGGGGAAGCTGGGAGAGTGGGAGACCCGACACTGGTCACTCATACATGCTACCAGGTGAAAAACCCCTTCCCAAAACGGCCTGAGCCACGTGCATGCTTTAACACCCATTTCCCTTAGAGACAGAAACCTGCTTCTCCTCCCGTCTGGGATAGAAACAGCTGCACAAAGTGGCTCCACGCGATTCAAGAGAAATGAAGAGGCACAACACCCTGATCAGAGCAGCACCACCAAACGTGCATGTCAGCGCTCACCCCAAGGCATGGAAACACCACGGCCATCCCCCGGGTGCACAGTTGCCCATGGGCAGGCCCAGCCTGCCGCTGACGGAGTCTGGGAGGACAAGGCTGAGAAGCCAGGATGTTTCCTTGCACGGGGGAGGCATCTCAGAGCAATGGCAGCTTTCCACAGAGGAGACGCCCTGTGGAGACACAAGCCCTCAGGTCTCAGGTGTACAGAGAGTTTCCCGCTGAATTCACTTGTATAAAGTTAGAACCAAACACAAACCAACATGAAATGCCACGAGCAGAAGTGTTTCTCTCTCACACACGTACACACGCAGGTACACACACACACACACGTACAGTAGAGCAGGGCAACACACATTTGATAGGCAGGACCCTGGAAATCCTGTCCTAGCTACCATTTGTTTCTTTACAGTAGGTTGAAATACAAAGAGGAGCACAGTGATGGTTCCCCCCCACCCCCCCCAGTAAACAAAGTTATTGCAGGCGGTCAGTCCACCCCATCTCTGCAGCCCTGACGCGCTCCGGCACCGAGAGCTGCCCAGGCTGCCTGCGGCTCCTGACGCTGGAACCCAGCCCAATCACTCTTGTCACACCAGTGTGAGACTCGAGGAAGAAATCACACACTGACTAATTTCCTTTAAAAGCCTTTTTTCTTTTTTTTTTTTTGATGTAACAGCCTCAATGAAGAAAAAGAAGGGATGTGCTTATACACCATCTCCCACGATACTGCTGCTAGGCAACGCTATACAGTTCCAGAGCATCAGCTCAGGTCAACCGAAAACACACGAACCGATGGACACCACAACACTCAAACTAGAGCTGAGCTTCTGCCACAGCCAAAAGCCAGCAGACGGCAGGCAGACCTGCCTGTGGGACTGCAGGAAGAAACAGAATATTGCAACCAGACAACATGACCTGCCCAGCAGCGTGCCACCAGGCGTGGGACCACTCCCCTGCATGGTTTGAAGGGAATACCCAGTCCCTGGCCAAGCAGGTTGCACTTGTGCTGGGAGAGGGTTCCATGAAATCGGTGCTGGTGAAGCAGCCCTTGCTGTGAGCTGCAACAGGCACCGGCGGGGACCACGCTCCCCATCAGCAGGAAAAGGCCTAACAGAACACACCACCACTGCCCTGCCCAAAACAAACCAGGAGGCTCCTGCCCAGCGAGCAGGGCAAAGCAGGTTCCCCAAGCCTTTAAAAACCCAAGGGTAAGAGATCAGAAAAAAAAAAAAAAGGAGGAAAAAAAAAAAAAAAGTATTGACCTGCAAATGCTGGTAAAGGTTCAAAAGCATCACTGCCCTCAGAAAGTGCCTTCTGGAAATGCTCACACAGCCTGGCTTGCCCACAAGGCTGGGATTCAAAAGGACTCCATCAAAAACTTCAGTCCCTTACCCTGAAATGCCAGAGATGTCTGCTCTTCCACACAGCAAGCACACTCTGCTCCCCAAACCCCGTCTGCCACCTGCTCCAAGTCCCTCCCAGGCATGCCCCGGGAAGCCTGGAGAGCAAGAGGCCACATCTGCAGCAGATGGAGCCACTGCCTGGGGCTTGTCACACTGCCTCCCTGTGAAAGCATCCCCTTGTCTTGGCACCCCAAGTGTCCCTGGCAGCAGCAAGGTGGACAAAGCGAACACGAGTGCAACCTGAGCCAAGCCAACAGTGCGAGACACCTAAAAAGCTCACTTCTTCATCTCCCAGGTCACCTTGCTGACCAAAGGGGATAGAGAACCTGGCTGGCTTCATCCTCGCTCATGTCCCAGCCACAGCTTCCACTGCACCTTGGGACTGAACTCCCTAACAAATCCTCAATCCGTAGGCCATGCTGTGCCATGGTAAAAGTAATTCTGCTGGGGAAGGGATGCAATCCACAGAAAAATGCCCGTGGGGAGGAATACTCAGGAAGCAGAAGGAAAAGACAAAGCAGCCTTCAGGAGGCTGCCTACCCCCAGCACCCTTCATTTTTGTTCCAGTCTCTGGGTCCCTACAGGAGAGGTCCTGGGTGGTTTAAGGGCACGGCAAAAACGCCCTCCTGCAGTGGCCCTGGAGCCAGGAGGTCTGCACCCAGCCTGGGGAGGTGCAGGAGGGTGAGAGCAGGCTCTGGGGAGCACAGGGTGGTCAGGGCAGGACAAAGGCAGCAGATAAAGCAGCCCACGCTCCCTCACGTGTGCGGTTGGACAGATGGACGGGAAGGCAGCTGGACATGCAGAGCGCCTGGCTGGCTCCCAGTCCAGCCACTACAGTGATGTATCACTTCACAGACAACGGCTCATCTTCCTGGGTTTGTTTTTTTGGCAACTTAATTTTTTTTTTCCTCTTATTTTTTCTTATCTTTTTTTTTTTTTTTAGAAAGCATTAAAAAAAATCTGCAGCTATTAAAAAAAATCCTTTCCCTTTAGAGGCTGGGCGAGGTTTTATTGACAGGTAAATAATCGGTGTGAGTATGTAAATAGCAGCGACCCCACTGATGTGGTGTCCCGCAGCAGCACAGCCAGCTGCAGGGACATTGTGACTGGCTTGGCTTGGTCATTGTCACAGACCTGGGACATTGGAGTTTCTTTACACCTAGTGTTTCCCTAATTCCTGTTCCTGCCCAACCCTCCTCAGGAATTGCTTCGGCGCAAACGCCTGCCCGTCCCTGTGGGCAGACTCCACGCTCCGGAGGGGAATCTGCTCTCCAGACCTCCCTAGCTATGCAAGTGGCTTGTTTTTCAAACTGGGCAGTTGAACTCCCTTCCAGACTCGCTGATCTCTCGTCCTTTGGCAGCAGGAAGAAAGACTGGCCATCTTTTTTTTTTTTTTTCCTAGAAACGCAGAGAGAGGGGGACAAACGCACCGGAACACGCATGATCTTCTGCAAAATCCGTTTGAGCTGATCCACGGCTCCCCCAGCGCACTCACACCAATGAGGTCTCAGGTTAATAAGCAGTGCAGTTATTCACTATCTGCTTGTAAGTGGTAGGTGTTCTCGGGCAGGTTGCCTGCTCCTGCCAACTCCCCCACGACTTCATGTTGTCAGCACATCTATATTTAAGACTGGGTTTTTGTTTTTTTTTGCCTTTGTTTAAAGGGGTTTCCTTCCCTTGTAGTAAACTTAAGAGTTAATAGAAAAATGTAATTCAAGAGTAATCCAAGCACATCTGTAATTAATTCTGCAGGAGAGGGCAGAGCGACGCGAGTCAGAGTTGGCACGCAATTCCTGGCTCCTGGTGTGCAGTCCCCGGGACGGACAGAAGGTCCCTTCGCCGAGCACGGCTAGAAGTTAGATTTGGAGTGTCCAAATATGCAGATGGGAAAGTGCTTGACATGAGAGGACCACTGTGCTGCCAGCTGAAAGAACTTGACGTCATTCCACTCCACCCCATCGATCAGGACTGCAGGGGAGGGTAAAAAAAGAGAGGAGAGTTAGAAAATACCGAATGGAAGTGGCCAGCCTGAAACAGCTTTGCTAGAAACCTCCCTGCAGTCAGCAGAGGGAGGCCTGGTGCTGCTCTGCCTGGCCACCCCGCCGCTGCTGCTGTAAACAGCTGCACACTCTGGGGGGAAAGGCTCAAGAGCAGACCAGGTTTAGGGAGAACAGCTCAGATTGTTGTTCCAGCATCGCTCACTGACACTGGATCTCCCCAGACTGCTGATTTCAGCATCACCTGATCCGATTTCTCCAATTTCCTAAACACACTCCATTTTCTTTTTTGGACAAATGAGCTCTTAAAGAGATGGACATCAGTCTCTCCTCACTGGCACTCTTAACCAGGAGTTCTGCATCTCCTGAAGTCATGACACATGTTCTGTGATCACCCCTCACACTCACCAGTCTCACAGGGACTGGGCCAGGATTAAGGAGGTGACCTATAAGCAGATCCCCCTGCTGTTAACAGCGGTGGGGCTTATCAACTGAACAGGCTACAGGGATATTTTTGATACTGGATGCACAGCTCCACTGACAGCCACTTTAGGTCTGCCTGCGGGATGCGTGTACATCTCCTGCCATGGCAGGCCTTTGTGCCAGAGTCCTGCCTGCAGGAGCAGCCACCCTCTCACCACTCTCCACTGTCATTTTCTAGACATGCAAGGGAAACAGAGGATGAGAGGGAGGGGAACGGACGTTGGCGCAGACCTTGTGCTCATTCAGTGCACGGATTCAGAGGAGTTCCTAGGTAAGGGAGGATTTTCCCACATCCTGCACCTTCCCACATGGTGGACACATCCAAGGCCGTTCCCCAGGAACACCCCCATTAGGTTGGCTCCAGGGCATGGGGCAGGATCAGCCCTTTGCCTGGAGGAGAAAGTTAGCAGCTGAGCCTCGCCCCAGAGCCTGAGGGGATGCAAGCACTGCACTTACCACGCAGCATGTTCTGCTGATGTTTTGCTGTGCAAATCAACCTGCTGATGCCTTCGATACACTGGCTCTTTGACTCAACCTCCTTGTCTTTTGTTTTCTTGGGCAAAAACATCACTGAAAGAGAATCAAACCAGCACACAGTGAATCTCTGCCACTCACAGGAGCTGCACCAAGACTTGTTTGGGTTTTTGAATTTAGAATTTTCAGACATGAATGTTTAACTCATTTTAACTCCTAAAATCATTCCTGTTTGACAGGAGTTTGACCATGTCAGTGCTCAGCACCATCACCTAACACACAGACATCCTAGCCCTCAGCATCTCTACGTGAAGCATTCCCAGCTCAGAACCCAGGCCCCAAAGGGCACCTTCGGAGCAATTCCAGCTGCTCTGTTGGGGACACCAGGGCAAACAGCTGCATCTGTGGTGGTCCCCAGCCTGTGCCCTGTGCTGGGCTGCCGGGATCTGCCGGGCAGCCGCACCACCTAGGGGGAGTCCCACATACTGCACAGGGCTGCAGGACAGCACCAAGCTCCACCATCCCATGCGGCTGCAGGCAAGTTCACTGAACACCAACTGCAGCCCAACATGAGCTGGGCTGCACAGACACCTGGAGAGCAGGAGGGACTACAAACTATGGGCTACTGGTGGAGAGGGAGGGCATTAGGAGAGGTAAAAAGGGTCCAATTGCCTGAGAACCTTCCAAAGAAAGGAGCAAAGATCATAGAATCATAGAATTGCCCAGGCCGGAAGGGACCTCCAAAGGTCATCTAGTCCGACCTCCCTACAGTCAGCAGGGACACCCCCAACTAGACCAGGTTGCCCAGGGCCTCGTCGAGCCTCTCCTTGAATATCTCCAGGGAAGGGGCCTCAACCACCTCCCTGGGCAACCTGTTCCAGTGCTCCACCACCCTCACAGTAAAGAACCCTCTCCTAATCTCCAGTCTAAATCTGTTCCCCTCCAGCTTGAAGCCATTGCCCCTCGTCCTGTCACTGCAGGCCTTTCTAAACAGGCCTCCCCAGCCTTCCTGTAGGCTCCCTTCAGGTACTGGAAGGCTGCTATTAGGTCTCCCCGGAACCTCCTCTTCTCCAGGCTGAACAACCCCAGCTCCCTCAGCCTGTCCTCGTAGCAGAGGTGCTCCATCCCCCTGATCATCCTTGTGGCCCTCCTCTGGACCCTCTCCATCAGGTCCATGTCCTTCTTATATTGAGGGCTCCAGACCTGCACACAATACTCCAGGTGAGGTCTCACCAGAGCAGAGTAAAGTGGCAGAATCACCTCTCTGGACCTGCTGTACACACTGGTTACACAGAAGCTGGTGGTGTTGAACACCACTGCTCCAGGATAGGCCAAGTCCAAGTGAGGAATATTTTGAGCATTTCAGGATTGCTTCTCCCACAGACATGCCACTGAAAAAGGGTGTGGTCAAGGCTGGGAGCTCTGGTGCCAGCAGTGCCATAGCTATGCTGGCCCAGTAGTGACCTGGTCGCAGAGTTATCCACCCCTGTCCTGCAGCCACAGGTCCAGAAGGCTCTGCTAGCCTTCTCCCAGAGCCCCTCAAACTCCTGTTTGCACCACAATGACTCCCAGACCCCATGGATGAGAAGATGTTGTGAAGGACAGCTACTGGCAATTGAACGTAAGTGCAGAACTGCCCTTCTGCTTCTTTGAAAACACTTCTCTGCAAAGCTGTTCTTTGGTTTCTAATGTTTCATGTTACCAAGGAGCAAATACAGAATTACTGACAATATTTCAAATGCCTTTTTTTGGTTTGTTTGGAGAAAATAAACTCAAAGCCATAATTTTAAGAGCAGGAAATTAAACAAGAAAATTGTTAACATCAGGCTTTGCACAGAGCATTTCTCTTCTGACTCCTTTTGTCCCACAAAGCAATCTGTGCATGAACGTAAGAGCTCCTGTAGAAGACCTTACATTGCTGCAGCCCTGCTCTGAGTGACACCACCTCTTGTATGGAGATGAATACCTAGCAATGGCTGGGCAGATCTGGCTGGTGCGTTTGTCCAGCTGTGACTGGTATTTTAACGTGAGGACACCACATCGAATCCAGCAAAATATCTGCTGAGACTTCTGCCATATGCTGCAACATGACGGGATGCACACATGTCCTGTCTGTCTGCATCTGTCATGTGGCAGAAGAGAGACCAGAGAATGAAGCTGTATGGGCTGCAGGGTCTGCTCTGACTCTGGTGGTTGGGGCACAAGCTCTTACCTAACCTGACACCCCACACCAGCAGGCTCACAAGGGAAGCTGTCCAGAGCAACATACCTCTTGGCTTTCTGGAAAGCCACCTGTAAAGGTCCTTGCTTCATCCCCACCTTTGTTCTTTTGGGCTATACCATCTCAGCTGTAAGTGTGTACATATCCCCTTCTTAGAGCACAAAGAAGAACCACCCTTTCAAACTCCATCACCTTATGCAGTGACTTCTCATCTACAGACAGACTTGGATTTGGGGGATAAAAATATGACTGAGGTGCTGTAAGGCAGGACTGACAAGTCAGGCAGCCCTGAAGTGGCAGAACAGGGAGAGCAGCATTGCATTCTTGGCCTTTGGCAACACTAAATGTGTCCATCTTACCTTTCTTGTTCTTTTCTTTTGTCACGACAGTCATGGACATGGTTGGAGTGGTGGCAATCTCACCACTGGCAGGTAACCTGCTGACCTGGAGGGACCGGAAAGTGCATTTCAGTGTGTTTTTGGTAGTGGAGGGGTCCTTCTTCTCCGGGTCTCTTTTTCTGTCCATGGGTGGAGCTGCAATCCAGTAATCCACCTGCAGGCCCATCAACTCAGCACCGAGGCTCTGGCTGGAAAAGAGGAGAAGGTGGTAATTTCTGCATCACACTCAGAGTTCTCTGCATCTGCATTTTGTCAGAGTGGCTGCCACTCCTGACCAGATGATCAGAGGACAAGCTCCTGGCTCTTTAGGAGATCAGGCAGCAACATTTCTTAGTGAGACCCGTTAATCACAAAAAGCACAAGTCATCATTCAGTGACGCAGTCTGGGTCATGTTACATGGTGGCATCGGCTTGGCAGCAGAGAACTGCAATGAGCTGAGACAAGCTGACCTGGTGCACACCACAAGGACGAGCAGTGGGAAAGGCAGGAGACAAGCAGTTTCCTAATGTGATTCTGAGTTCAGTGACCCAGCCAGCAAAGGCAACCCCTGAGGAGGCCCGGATCACTTCCAATTGTTGAGTGGGGAAGTGGGTCTGTAAGCATCTTGCTGCTGCCTCCCGAGCACTGATGAGTTAATGATGCTGGCCAGATACAGGACTGCCAAAACCACCTCTGAATTGGGGTGAATAAAGAGGTGGAGGGCCCCTGAGCATTAGGCACTCAGTTCTGAGCCCCCCTGATTACTTCCAACTTCTATGTCCATGAGATCTTCCTACCACCAGCTGCTTCCCTTCCTGTCCAGATGCTCCATCAGGTCACACAGGATCTCTACTCTCTCCAGGTCCCTGTAATGGAGTTGGCACTGGGCAATACACCCCATGAGCCCTGCTGTGGGCTGGGGAGTTCCTGTGCTGGGAAAATGCTGTGCCATTCCTGTGGTGTTTGCTAAACAATAACAGATTTCAGGACGTGATCTGCTGCTGAGAACTCCTGCGCATCGTGTTGTAACAGACGCGCATCACCAAAACACACTGCCAGCCTTTCCTGAGTCAGAAAACAGAAGATGAGTAGCCTGAGAAATTCCACTCCTTGCCTGTCCCTGCCTCTCACTAGCTAACCCCAAGGGAACAGGGTTCATCACTCAGCAGACCTACGGTTGACAGCCTACACTTCTTCCTACCCAATGACAGTGTTGAATAATATGCAAGTACTAGGCAAAAAATTAATAATTAATCTACCAGTTTGTGTCCATGTTAGAGAAATGGCAATTGTTAAGGAAGAGGAAACTGTGATTTTGAATGAAATATGCATCCCTTTACACCACCGGTCTAATAAGAAACTCTCAAGAACAGCCCATCATTAAGGTCCTCTCAACAGATCATTTCCTTTTCTTTGCCATTTATTCAGCTGAAAGGCAGGCTGCAAAGCAGAGTTCATTTTTAATCACCAAACCCAGGTTTTAGATTCTCAGGGCAATTTCAGAAGAGAGATGATGTTTAAAGATGATGTTTTGAAGATGCAGCTTTGGATTTTAAGGGTCTTTAGCATCACATTTCCCATCTTAGTTGTAAAGACAAAGCATCCTAATGTCCACTATGCCCAGGCAGGATTTTCTGTTCCATCTCTGGTTAAAGATGTGAACTAACTTTCAGTCTGGGTCACCCTCCACCCTCTGTGCTGTCATATACAGATCAGCAGAGATGGAATAATTTTGAACCTAAACTTCCTCATTTCTTGATGATTTTACCACACAGCATCAAGTTAAAAAGTACCCGATTCCTAGAGCCGGGGTGTCAACTTCAGATGTACCACCTCCAAAGCTCAGAACTTTAATAGCCAACGCTCTTGTGGGTACAGGTTCCCAAACTGCTTCCAACTTTGGAAAGCCCACACAGAGCTCACACTTGAGAACCTGTGCAGCCCCCAACTCTGTACTGTTGGCCAGCTGTTGCTGGGACCAGCCTGAGGCAGACAGGACCCTCCTGCCACCAAATCACAGGGGGCCAACAGGAGGATTTGGGGAACTGGGCCTCCTGGCACAGGCTAGTGGTCACTAACACCTTCCAGTCACTGTCCACCTGCTAAACTGGGAGTTCCACATTTCCATTTCCTCTTATTAGAAAGGAACTCTTAAGCCAGTTTAAGAAGTCAGAGGTTAAAGGTCACTGCAGGGGTCTCTGGGGTGGGGAAGAAAGGTCCCCATTCCATCTCCAACAAGGACAGTGGGAGATGATGTTTAGGGAGAGCACGTGAGCTCAGTCTCTAAGTGCAGAGCATTCCCTTGGATTTTCCCAGCCTGACATTAGGGATGTTAAAGGGGACATCCCTGAATCACCCTTTAGTATCCATTAGTGGATCTGCTGCCTATGAATTTGCCTCGCCCCTCTTTGACCTGCTGATCCCAATGCCACACAAGCAGCAGAGGTGACACAGTCCTAATATGCCTTTCCTACCACGTGCCGCAGCCCCTTCTTTTCTCCCTTTGAACTGACCTCTTGCCAGTGTCGCTGTGTGCCCCCAGGTCTTGTACTGCAGCTTTGGTGAATGACAGTTCAGTATTCAATGAAGCCACCACCACCACAATTTTGCAGAACCTAAGTGATTTACCTCTGCCCCCTCCTCCCCAAAACTGATTCTGGTCTCCCCTTACAAAGCAGCTGCTCTGTCCCCTTGATCCCATCGCCTGTGCTCCCCTGAACCTTTAACTTCATCATGTGTTCTGGGTACCAGAACTGCACACAAAGTGTTAGGCAGCTACACCAATATTTTGTGCAGCAACGAAATGAGAGTCCTGGCCAAGCCAATTCTTTACTGGCAGTTTTCTAGTGGTTTCTTCACTTCAACTCTAAAAATTTCAGCTAAGCCAGAGCTTTATGTTGCCTATAGATGCTGTCTCCTTGCTGTTCTGATATGCCTTCAGGCACATACATGAATGGAAACTGCAATTCCACTATGCCACCTTACAACTGTCAGCTCTCCCCTCACAGAGAAAAACCCTGCTCCTCCTACAGGGTCACTGACTTTACAGTCACTTGGTCCTTAAAAACATATTGTAAGAATTGTGAGGGATTAGGCTAGCACCCATGCGTATTAAGGTCAGTATTTTCTTTGGCAACATATCTCCCCTAAAGAATCCAGTCTCAAAGGGAAAATATCAGCAGATGGAGAACACAAACCTTCCCAAACAGGCGGCCACAATGGCTCATCAGAATCAGGGTTTCTGCCAGACTATGAGAAACAAGGCTGCCCCTTCTAGTAAATATGTGTCTGCCCTTGAGTAGTGCAGCCTTCCTATCAGGTGCAAGATCCTATCTGCCCTCCTCAACTCCTTGTTGGCCAGCAAGGACACGATCACTCCAAAGGCAAAAGAGGTGAAGGGGAAAGGTGTCAACTTCAAGTGTTTGCTACAGAGGAAGAAAGCAGAACTATGGGTTTTCCTTTAGAAGAGTTTTCCTCTCTCCTGTATATGTCAGATAAGACAGCCAAGGGAGGTGTAAAGAGACAAAACATGCTTTACCTTGAGGATGAGAAGCTGCCTGTGACAGACGGTGAGGAAGGTGGTGTGGGGGAGGCTTCTTTCACAGCAGGAGACACAGAAGGTGGGGTAGAAGAAAGGACACTGGAGCTTGAGGGAGCTGCGTCATCGGAGTCACCTTGCAGGAAAGAAGTCAAGCTGTTTGTCTGGGCTCGTCTCACAGCCCAGCACACACACTGGGATAGCTCAGTCTCTTTACTCACGCTCCTGCTGCACAGGTTTTGTTCAGACTCAATCCACAGATCAGCTATAGCCCATCCGTTCTGACTGCCTGCACACTTAAAACATGGGACTTTCTACATTTGGGTAGGAAGCAGGCACAGACATTCACTCTCCTCTGGGCTTCCCAGCCAGCACCTGCTCTCCCAGGGTTTGCTCCCAGTTGATTTTGAGCCTCTAGCTCTGCTGGGAATTCTCCCCCCACAACCACTGCAGGGCAGCATCCCTGAGAGACTCTTGGAGAATTCAGTACCCCTGGGCTGATCACAGAGATGTCCCCATTCCCCCCGCTTCCACTCTTCACAACCAAAGCATCAATCCCTTCATATTGGCTCTTTAGGGTGGTGGGAGCAGTGTGGCACCAAGGAGTGATCCCCAGAAGGGCTGTCTTCACACACAAGCCTATGTACAACCTGGGGCACAGGAATCTGGGTTTAATAGTGAAGCAATGTAAGAAACAATCCCAACAGGTGAAGAAAAAAAAAATATTCCTGACTAGTAGTGTTTTCTCCTCCTTCATACACAATTTCCCATTGATAAAATAGCACTGCCCCATGTACATGTGTGTAAGTAGGTAGTATCATGTAAGTCAGCTTCGCACTCCCCCATTAAAAAAAATGGGTCTAAATGTGTTGTCAGATTGGCAAACAGGTTGCCTGTTCTGGAGTTCCCATTGTCAGGCACATGTTTGAGACTGATTTTATTAGGCAACTGAACCCAGAGTAGGGAGATAGGCATGAACTTCTGATAAATTGCCTCCCCAGTTTGGAGCAGGAATCTCAAATAACCGCAGTGGTGAATTCACCCCATCGAGAACACACATAAGAAAAAGGGGTGTTTGCACACACAAGTGGAGCTTCCCTGAATGAGGGTGTGGTGAATTTCAGCTGGCCTGAAGCTCCTTGTAAAGTAACAAGATAAAGGGCCCCTTGAAAGACAAAGGCCAATTCCACCGTACAAAACTTCAAGACATCAGCAATGGACAAGTTTGTTCAGCCTGTCAAGCTCCCACCACCTGCATGACACAAAGTACACACAAGATGATTGTTACCTGATGTTGCAGAAGATTGTTCCACTATTCCAACCTTCACCACCTAGAGGGAGTAAAACAGAAGAGCTCTATGAAACAAGAGTCCCCTGAACTTCAGGAACCCTCAACCCCCAAACTAAGCTTAGCCCTACAAGCCCCCTTGGCACTGTCCCTGCAGTCAAAGAGTAGCGTGAAAGTATGTTGAAAAGTGGAGTCTTCTAAGAGCCAGACAGGTCCCATCAGTGTCCAGACACAACCTGTGAGCACATGGAGCTGTTACAGACCTGAGCAGCCCATTGCCAGCCCCAAGCTATGGCAACTACAGTGCCTGTCTGTGACACTTGTGGGAACAGGGCAAGACTAAGAAAGGAACATAAATATCCCTTTGGCATTGCTTTGATGCACCTGCTAATTACAGACATATTGCTTCTACCACACAAGTGCTGCCACTTCCAGGGTGCAGCATATTTGGGGTTTGTTAGGAAACCGCAAAATCAACAAAGTACAGTTTCTGATCATAATTTTCTAGTTTCCCAACAAGGACAGTGTCTGGCAAAGAAGATAAAGCTCCTGGCAAAGCCTGTGGGTACCAACACGGATAAACCTTCACATGGACATGTCAGAAAGATCCAAATCACACTGTAATAAGGATATAAATGTGTTCTGATATGAGCAACCATCTCCTAGTGCTTTTGAGTTAATGCCACTGGCAATAATTTATGGAACAGAGCATGTTCCCAACACAAGCTCCCAAGTACAAACTATGTCTAGAAAGACAAAGTGACCCATGGTGATATAAAAGCGGGGTGCTTCTGTAGCGATAATCTGCTAGGGTGCATGGGGATCATTATTGTCAACACTGCAGAAGAGAGACCCTTCTTAAGGTCCTTAAGAAACTTGTATCTGGGGTTAATATCTACCCTATCTAAATGCTGACAAATGGGAAAGAGCTGCAAAGGGAACCCAAGTCAATAAAACCCGCTTCAGAATGAGAAATTATGTCAGTCAGTCTATTTAGTTTGAAAACAAAAGATGGTTAAGTTCAGACGTGGCCATGTCTGGACCACATCCCTAGGGAGCACATTTCTGTGCTATGGGATCAAGAAAAAGGACCTAATAATTAGAAAGAAAAAACTTTGCACAGTTCAAGGTGGGGTGGTGTATGCTCAACACCAGATCTTGGAGAGCTGTCAGGCACTCCAGTGGATTCTCTATCAGCTCCAGTCTTGGGAAAGCCATCATGAACCCAGCAGGGAGTGTGTGCAGAGGCTCCCTGAAGGGGCACTGGCTTGGGAGAAGGAGGCTGCAACTCAGTTTGGTCAGTCTGCATCCAAAGAGCAATAAATCTGGCTTTGGAGTCCCAGCAGCCATTTGTGCTACGTGTTAAACCCCAAGAGGATGTTTCACAGACTGTAACTAGCTGTGAGCAAGAGGAGGTGAGGCAGAAGAGTTCGGGGAAGAACAAGCAACACAGGAAACTGCCTACAGCCACCTTGATCTGCAAGCCAGACAGGAAATCACTTTTGGCCTTTTCCCTCTTGTTTGCTGACTGAAGACGCTCAAGTTCAGACCCATGGGAGGAAGACAAGGTTAAACACTTTCCCTTCCCTCTACTCAGGGAGGCGCTTGAGACTGCTGCAGTCTCAACAAGGCCTCCATCCAGGAACGCTGCAGCAGCCAGACTTCTTTCCCTTCAGGAAGGAAGCACATCCTGCTAACTCTCCTGGCACCTGGCTGTCAGCACAACAAGGGAGCACGACCACACGGCCTCACCACCCGAGCCTGCCTTTTGCATCCGAATGGTCCCTTGCGAGGCTCCGCTTCCACCACTTCAGAGCGTGGCTGAGCAGCACAGGTCTGCCCTGCTTGCTTCTGGGTCAAAGACAGCACACAGCCCAGCTGCAGGACAGCAGTTTTTGCACCCTAAAAGCCAACAGAGTCCAGCGGATGTCAGGAGTCTCAAACCCAAACATTGCTGGCTCCCTCTCTTCCTTGGCCAACAGCTCCAAGCAGGCTCCAGCAGAGGGGAAGAGCTTTGGTGCTCATATTCAGCCTCAGACTTTGTGAGACACCTGCAACTGGGCTTTCAGAGTCTCTTCAGATGTGTCCTATAGGCAATTCTGTCAGGAACACTTCAATGATCACTTTAGAGCAACTGGACAAACACTCTGAGGCCCATTTACTTGCACATAGCACTGAACTAAATCAGTCCCAAAGAAAAGCTTTGCAGAGCCTAGCAGCCACAGTGAGATGAGTCCAGGTGCTTCCAAGCCCTTCTGGGCTTTTCCTGTTACAGGAAAAGTTGAAATGGCTGTTTCGTAACAACAGTTTTTCACCAGCAATTGCAGTTCGTGGGAGGGAAAAGATCACAGTAAAGCTCATCAGCAGGGAAGAAATTGGGAAGATGTGTCTCTCCGCTTTAGCGGAGGACATCTTTTCTTCAGCAAACAAAGGTAGATTGTCGTCACAGGAGCACTGCAGAGACACACTCTCGCTCTGAAGAGGCATCAGAGTGAAAGCAGGGTCAGCCTGAAGGCAAGAGAAACTAAGCTCTTTAAACACCTTGGGATTTCAGATTAGCTCTGACGCACTGACAGGGATACAAACAAGAATGCACACAAGTCAGCTTAACGCAGAAAAAGGTAGAACAAGACAGCCAGCGTGCAAGACAAGAGGAGCTTCAAGAGAGCAGCAAAAACTGTGAAGAGGACATCTAGTAGCTGAAGAGCAGTCAGGGGACATCCTTTTGGCCACAGGTCAATGACTTTATACCTAAAACTTAATGAATTGAAGAGCACAGTCAAGTAAGGGAAGCTAGAAAATGCAAAGTACATAGTGCACAAAATACACTGACAGAAGCAAAACCATACCCCTGCCTAGATACTCTGCACTTGGCCACCTGATCTGGGAAGATGTAAAGAAAAGGACAGGAGGAAAAGCCTGGGACTACCATCCTAAAACACGTAATAAAATGTATTAAATACCTACTGTCTCAGACTCAAACCTAACAGTGGCATAAATGATCTCCCTGGTGGAATGTACTCTCCACTTCTCAGGAGTGGATGGGATATTAAGAGGCCTGGAGACTGTTCACGATAAGCACACGCAGGACTGACACTGGATTAGCAAATTTGGCCAAATCAATCACCCAAGGCAATGCTGGGCACAGCAACCCTAAGATCAGGTTTCCCAGAACACACCACCTTCCTCTGCACATGGCCCAGCACCAAGTCTCCACCAATTTGGTCTGCAGCAAAGACAGGCTGTGGGTCAGAGCACTTCAGAGTCACGCTTTTCTCTTTGCATTGAACAAACAAGGCTACGGTGCCTGGTTCAGTGCTGGAAGGCAGGCAGCACAGAGCCACTCAGAGCCAGCTGCTTGGAAAGTAAAATACACCTAGTAGTTTGTTGAGGGATCTTTGAGGTTCACTTATGTGCCAGGAAATTGCATCCAACCATCAGGTGCTCATGCTGACACTCTACCTTAGAGCACCCAGTGCTCAATGCTCTACCCCAGAAACCAGGTAAATTTGCATCCAACCATCAGGTGCTCATGCTGACACTATCTTAGAGCACCCAGTGCTCATGCTCTACCCCAAAAACTAGGTAAATTTAGGTTAACACTTGTGGACATATTCCAGCTGGCTTGACACAGCGTAACTAAGATAACACTCACCCCGACAAAGGGAATGAACTTCTGCGAAGATTCTTCATCAGGGCTAAAGGTAAAGAGAAAAGAGTTGTTAACAGCTTGCTTCCACACCGGCCACAATGCTCGCTTTAGATGTTGCATTCAAGCATGCAGCAGGGACGGACAGTATGCAAGCGCCAGTCCAATGTCTCCTCTCAAGGCCCCCTGCCAGCACGCTAAGAGTCTGCACGGGCAGGGAAGAGCACGCAGCTTACGGCACATCTCTCAGGGGACAGGTCTCTTCCTCCCTCCCTCTCGCTCGACAGAGAAACATGCTTTGATGGCATGGCAGTCAGTACAGACACACGACCTCCTACTGCAAGGAAATGGATCTGTGCCACAACAACACGGAGAACTGTGCGTTACTTACTAGTCCCTGAGGCGCTCTGCACGCATGGCCTTCACGCGTCCCACCTTTGGAGCCATGTGCCATACCTTGCATATCCCAGCATCGCTAAAGCAGTTAGCCTGCCACGGGGTTACAAGCCGTGACACGTGGTTATTTGTTTAGCACTAGCAAGTACACACACACACACACTCATACAGATACGTGTTCCCTGCCACTGGGAGCTTGCAGTCCCTTAGACGGACACGCTAGAGAGGTCGGACACCAGAGTACCCTGGGTAGATCAGGACGCCAACTCAAGAACAGCAAACAGCTAAACCAAACCCAACAAAACATACACCATGTCCCAGAAACAGCTGAAGACAACACTACACACATTTTCAAGGCAGGAAGGCATCAGCCCCTCCTGCTCTGGCCCTGCCCAGGATTCAGGAGCCAGAAGGTGGCAAAGGACAAAGGCCACAGTCAAGCCTAGGAGGAATTAGGGAGAGACTCAACAAAGACAAGAGGGGGAAGACCTGAGTGAGGAGGAAGGCAGGCTGGGAAGGCCTGCAGAGCCACTGCTCCCTTCAAGGGTGACAAAGATGGACCCACGGGATGAGGAGAGGACTGCAGGAGCATGTCCACGTGTTCAGAGGAATTATAGTTCATCAGCAGAAGTGACTGCACAGGCAAGACACACAAAGTTTCTCAGTGGCCAAGCACAGGAACAGGTAGGAAGCAGACAAACACTAAGATTTCTCATGTTTCTCTTTTTGTGCATCTGTCAGTGCTCAGAGCGCTGCAATGTTCAGAGAAAAAACATCCAGCATTGCCTTCATCCAGAATATTGCTGGGTACAGTGCAAATACTTGAAGAAAGCAGGTTTTTCTGTGCCGTTTCCAGCACAGATTGGAAATGCACCTAATGTGCAAAGGGTACAAACCACCGCATGTCCAGCACGGGACAGTCTCCTCTAAGCCCTACAGAAAGAATGGCATAGAACTGCTGCAAACACGCCTCAGCCAGAGCTCCCTCTTGGTCCAAAGCAGAACGTCCTTTTCCAAGGGGCTTTGCTCCCTTCCTGCCTCACAATCCTGGGTACTGTACCTTCATTTTTCCCCCAAAGCACATGACAAAATGACCGAGTTCCTGATTGTGTGTTGGAAGCCCGAAAGGTCACATCTTTCCAAACATGGCTGTAGGCCCTCCAGCAAATAAATCTCCTACGAACGTGACATTTCCAGCTCCAGTTTCACAAAGGGAAACAAGAAACTCACAGAGCTGTTGGGAGAAGCACAGAAGAGAGGCTCAGCTTTCTTCTCGTTTCTTCAGCTTCACAGGCTGAGCAGCAGTGAAGAAACAAGTCCCCTTGACCAAGTGAGGGAAGCACAACAGACGCCTAGTCATTTCTCAGCTACTGGATGGCTTTGCTCTGAGCTCTCAAAAACCAAATCATGCCCGATTCCAGCAGAAAACTCATTCTTGTTCCCCTGGGAGCTCAGACTCCTACTGAGGAGAGCTCAGGGGCAGCTCGGAAATAAATAATTTGCTTCAGTCACCACTTATCACGGCTCACAATGATGCATAAACTGTTCCTGAAGCAATCCAGCTGGATTTCAGCTCAGCTAGTCTAGTCCCATCACACGTCCTCTCGGGAAGTCTGATCTTGCCCATGTGCCTCTGAAAATGCAGCTTATCACAACAGCTGCTCTTCGGGTGGATGGAACAAAAGATGAGACGACCACGCTTGTTCTCCACTTCCTCTTTCATGCTCTTTCCTGTTTCTTGTCCTTTGGGATTCAAAAACATTAATCCAGAATCCTCTTGCCTTGGTAACATTCTCTTCTATTCCTCCTACCACAGCCCTGCAACTAAAATATCCTCTGTCCCTGGAAAAGCAGCTCCCCCTTATTACCTAGGCTGCACAGAATCCCAGGCTGCAGAGGTTTTACCCCCATAGCGACGTCCACGGTATTGGTTTTATCCACAGCGCTTCTGAAGGTCCTGGTATCTCAGCTATTAATTTAAAGGCAGATCTGACCCTGGTTTGCAATTTTTAACACTGATACTTCACTGCTGTAGCTTGCGGGGGGAAGGGCAACGTGCAGATTGGAACCAACAAAAAAAAAAAAAACAAAACAACCAAAAACCAGACCTACACAGAGAAGCCAGAAAGAAAGAAAATATTTATCTGGAATAGGGAGTTGTCCACCTACTATTTTTCCTTGGAAAAAGCCCATTTACCTATAACTCTTCAAAAATGGGCTTGCAGGCTCCCTCCCTACGCCAAGAAATTAACTCAGATTGAACAAAGGCATACAGACGGATTTATATGGTTTAGAACTCTTAGAAATGAGAAGAAGCCACATCACCAGGAGTTACCCAGCTGACAAAGGGAGGGAATAATCTCTCTCTCTCTTCTGGGGTAAAGTACAAACTAAGCTGCAAAGCACTCAGATATTACAGTAATAGGGACTGAATAATCCCTTAGAGCAGCTATGCCAGTTACTAGTCTTTTAATAAAATTTCATTTACAATTTAAGCAACCCAAAGTAGATTCAAATGTCACCAAACACCTGCAATTTCCTAGCAGGAGGGTCTTAGGTACTACCCTTATTCCAGGCAAGTCCTGCAGGGGGCAATAGGAAAGAGGAGACTTTTATTGCTGAAGGCCCCTAGGCCATTTCAGACCACACACCATCACCAACTCTCCAGGGTTCATCTTTGGTATGAAGAATCTCTTCCTCCTGCCGGGCAGCTGTAGCTGTTTGCTGGTTAACACTGTCCCTGTTCCACCAAGTCTCCAGCAGTCAAACCAAACAAAGGGACAACGAAACTCCAGGTCCCCAGGACAGACACATCAGATGAGTCACCTCTGCTTCCCTGTGAAGCTCCCGTCCAGCACCCTTCATGTTCCCACAGTGGCTGGACATACTCAATAGCACATTTCTGGAGCCTTGACTCTCCTCTGCCAGGCAACGGGTGCAAGTAAACTCCTGTTATGTTTCCACAGGCTGCACAAGGAGGTTCATGCAGCAACCAGCCAAGTGATATGGATACTGCTGAACCAGAGGAGGGATGGGGTTCATCTTCACCAGCTGTGTCCATGTTCAGCAACCGCTGCAAGGTGTGTTTTAGAAGCAGCACTCAGAGAACAGACGTGGACTGTGCCTAGCCACTGCCCTGCAGAGTCAGAGACACACAGCAGGCAGAAAACAGTATTACCCTCCTTCCCATTGCCTGGGAACCCACAGTGGCTCACCCTCCAATCCAAGGCACTTGGTGCTCCAGGGAGCAAGAGCTGGGGAAGTGCTCTACAGCACACAAGAGTCAAGAGCTTTTGGAAAACCTGTAACTAAGTAAGAAATCACCCAGCCCTCACCCTGACAAGCGAGCAGTGCTTTTATTTTCAACAACCAAGCTGGTCCTCAGACTCACGCAAGCCACACGGCATGAGCTGAATTACAGTGGGCAACACCAGCCCAGGTACACAGAACTTATCAGCTATCCAGCTCCACTGGAATGAGTGTCTGCCAAGTCTCACATCTCAAATATTGCAGGGTTTCATTCAAGAAAGCAATGCATAGAGGTTTCAGCATCAATGATACCCGCCCTCTAGTGAGAGGCCAACCTCTGCCAGCATGGTCTCAGCTCCCCAGATGCTGCCAGGACTGCAGCGTTTCTCGACAATCCAGTAACCAGTAATTCTCCCAGTGTTCAGAGACAAAGCCAGTCACCCAGTGTAATGCAGAGGAGCTGAAATTGTAACTCATTTCCTTCCTGAACCCCTTCCTCATTGCCAGCCCCCTTGATTTCAGGTAAGGTCAGCAGATGCTCCAAAAGAATGGGACAAAGCTTTTGCACCATTGCAGTCCATCACAGGCAGTACATGCGCCAACCGTTTGCCATGACAAACAGAACAACGGGACAGGAAGGAGAGCAGAGGTAAGTCAAAACAGGGAGAGCTAGCAATAAAGTTATAAAGCAGGTCATCACATACAGCTACGTCCTAAAGACTGGCTTGCTAGCTTGGCTTTCCTTGGATCACTAGGGCTTGTTTAACAGAGCAAATGCTAGGATACTGGGAGGTTTGTCTTGCAATGAATTTGTAGGTAGTGCTGCTGTTTCTACATGGACCACTGCCTTGAAAACTGGCCTGGGAGAAGCTACTCACCTCTAGCCTCGAGCAAAATGGAGTCACAGTAACTTTATGAACTGAGGACAAAAACCCCAATGTCTAATAATCATATGATTTGCAGCAGGGAACCCTGCATTGCAAGGGGGGCTTGGAGGCAGCTCACTGAGCACAACTTCCCTGCTAGCATACATCTGTCTCCTCTTTCTTAAGCTCAGAGAAGACCCATATGTTTGGGATAGATTGTCAGTAAGAGACCAGTCCTCAATTTTTTGGTTAAAGGGAGAAGATTTGCTGGTCTGCACTTGGAAACTGCACAGCTGAATGCAGACCCTGAGCCACTGAGTGCCACCTACAGCACTCCAGTTCCAACAGATGGGAAGTGGAAAGCCTTTGCTCAGTCCTGATCCTTTTGGAGCTATGGAACGGAAGAAAAAACCCTACTTTCTCTGTGTTTTACTGCTCAAAGCTACACTCTCAATAACCCCTTCATTTTCACTCAATCTACACCCTGGGAACCCGTACATGTGGTCCAGAGGCAGAGCAGTCACTTTGAACAATGCATTCTGCCAGCAGATGCCATAGTTTCAAAGCAGCGAGCAGAATTTAACCTAAAGCACAAACTGTGCATCCCAGACCTGCAGGAACTGTTAAACAAGGCAAAAAAGACCAGTTTATAGAGGAAAAGATATAGGAGATGGGAGAGGGGACCTAAAAGGAACTGATACCTTATGGTAAAATCAAAATGAAAGCTCTTTTTCCTTTTCAGAAAGCAACCAAAGGAAAAGATAAATATGTTATTATACTTACAACAAAGTGATGCATTCATTTAGATAGTACTAATGTAAACACAATTTCTGTGTTGTTTTTCACAATACCCTCCCTAAATTGTGGCCAACGACAGAGAGCTGCATTTCTAATGAAAGCCACACAGGGAAATAGCTGCCTATCACTCCATGGGAGAACTTGTTCCTGTAACTCACTCTCTAGTTTGCTAATGGGGTACTTTGCTGAAAGCAGAAGTTATTTTAAAGCCGACAGAACAGAGATACTAAGAGACTGCAGGCTATGCCATAAGTCTGACTAAAAGTCTCAGCTATCTCAAGGAACCTTATGCAGGGTTTCAGCCTGATCTAAATTTATCATCAGCTCCAGGCATAGCACCTGGAGATCAAGTCCAAATGGTCTAAAAATCCAAATCTAAAAATCAGACCAGCTCGGTAAAACAGTCATGCATGCTGCTGGGAGGGCTACGTGTATGTATCACTGAAGTACATTTCAGATGTTTGTCAATAAAGTCCCAAACTGACCTTTCCTGGGCACATTAGAAACTCAAAATGATTAAATGTGTGTTAATGACAACAATAAACCTGCACCAGAATGGAGAAGGCAGTGGATATCAGTGCAGAACCCAGCAACTGAAGGGTGCAGAGAAAGAACAAGGCAGCCATCAGAAGGCGTTTACACTGCACTAGGGGAGTCTGAACTCTGTATCTGTAACTAAGGTAAGACTTCACACCAAAAACAAAATAAAAGACTGAAGCTAAGAGCTCTGAGTACCCTGCAGCTCTCCAAATCTCACCTTTATCAGGTTAAAATTACAAGTTCACAAACAGTGAAGAGAGCACGCTCTTTTTAATGGACTAGTCAGTCTGGAAATATTTGCCCTAGGAGAGCACAAAGAATGGGCTACATTTTACTTAATCATTTCTGCAAAGTAATGTAGAGCAGACACAGGAACGGAAAAACAATATACAATGAGCATTTCCAAAAAGAGGGAAAAAAGTGACTCTACCCACACCTTTAATCCCTCCCAGTTCTTATGCAAAGGAGGCACCAATGAGAGATGTTAATGGACCAAAAATGAAAGATCAGAGATAACATGGGAAGGGTAATAATTAACAATTAACATAATCCATGCTTCACAGGACATTGCTAATCACTAATCAAGAAAAATTACATGCACTGAGTGTCTGTCCTGCTCTGAGAAATTATTGGGATGTGTATGAGTTGGAGTCTATTGTTCTCCTCTGTGCCTCGGAAATGATGCATCTCTACCCTTCAGTGACAGTTACTCTTCTTCCTGGACCACAGCCACATGAGGCTCTACGTACTTCTGAATCTGATTTTCAGACCCCAATCCTCCCTCCTAAAATGCTGCTTATCTCCTAAGGGAAGTTGAAATAAAACCTCATGAATGTCAGCCCGCCCCAGGAGGAGTCCTGGTAGCCTGCAACTGCCAATCAACAAGGCTTTTGTCTCTCTTGTGAGAAGCTCTGCTATTTACACTCTAAAAAGAAAGGGTTTCAGTTTCCTCAACGCTGGTGCAAAAAGGCCAGGTCTCATGGAAGATACTTTGGTGGTGGGGGAGAGGGGGAATGCTGCAGTCCAATCTTACACAGCTAAGGTCTCTGTGGTAAGGGAGAGATCTCCAGAACATTACCAGATACAATCTGTCTGTCCCCCATCCTGCCCACTCCTTGCTTCCCCAAACCTCTCAGACCTTCAAAGAAATCACTGCACTTAAAGGAACCTCACTGTTGTTGATTCACTGTTATCTAAGTGGGACAAATCCCTGGTGCAGGCTACAGTGAGGCTTTATGGTGGTGTAGTTTGGAGTGATTTTAAGACTGCTGGCACACAAGATGAGAAAAGCACTTTGCCTTCAACCTGATGCTCATTCTGGAAAGTCAGTATTATGTTAGTGACATACCTTTTCTGCTTGTACGTCAGCATCGCTTCAGCAATGGGCAACTGGTGCGCACAGTTTGCCCCTGCTATATACTGCGTTATCCGGGAGACAACATCAGGCGCCTCTGGAACTGCAATACAACAAAGACAGAAAATAAATTAAGTGACTCCTCAGCATCAGGCGCCTCTGGAACTGCAATACAACAAAGACAGAAAATAAATTGACTCCTCAAACCCTCACCGGCACTGTCCTCCATTTGCTCAGCCAAATGGCTCATGGTAGCCAGCCAGCTGCATCTGAATTGCATCTTCCAAAGGAGTCTCTGCAGCTTACCCCAGAGCTCTGCAAAGCTGTCTAACCAAACGCAAACATCCCACAAGAGCACCTCAGTAAAAACTGCAGGAAGGCACACTAGGTACACAGACATCTGCACACAGCATTATTTATTGAAGTATTAGTTATTTTATATTTGGTAAAAGGCTTTTCTTCAAAAACGTGTGCACAGAGTCAGCTTTAGACTTTTTTGCACCTTGACTCTAGGTATCTGCTAAAGGGAGTGCCTACCCATCTCTCCCAGGGCCTTGGTGAGCTGCTTTGCTCACATCCACATTTGAGCTACCTGATTTCCTAATGAACTCATGGCTTTGCTGAGTTAATTCAAAAGACTGAGAGCCGTGCAAGGGTAGGAAGAGCACAAAGAGCTAGTATGCTTCAAGTCTGTGAGAGAGCTTGATTCAAGTTCACAGGAAGACATTTCCTAAATGCCTTTCATATTTCTTTGGCTTCAAGCAAAGAGCCTCAACTGTGAGATCAAGGGAATGCAAGCTACCTTCACTGGGCACTTCTATACCTTAATGGCCATTCTAACCCAGAGCCTCTTACAATAATTATTTGAACAATGAACTGTGAAGAGCTATGATTCTTTGCCAGATCTTATGCCATCACAGGGTTTCTGTGCAGTTCTCAGTGCACAGATGAAAATGGAGAATCTACAAGGCCTGGACTGCACAAAAACGAGGCTGCATTTTCCTCATAGCATGCAAGCAAATAAATAAGGGCTGCAGCATACAACCTACTAAAGAACAAAAATGGCTCTTGAGCTGGATTTCTATAGCTAATGAAGCATTTCTAAATCAGACACTAAAAGCCAGTCTGTATTGACGTTTGTCTGCATTTTCAAGTGTAGCAAGGAACTAAAAGAAACCTCTTCCAGAAATCTGTTCTTCCACAAGCTTATAATCAAGGAAAAGTGTAGGCTGGATGGCACACTAGTTCAGCCTCCTACTCCAAGCAGGCTAACTTCACCTCCAGAAAAGGCTGTCCAGGACCTTGTCCAGTCAAGTTCCCATCTGCTGGAAAAAGCTCTGAACAATCCCCTGTGAAGTGGTCTCTTTCTCTCCTCTTTTCTCACAGCCAGAAGACTTCCAGGATCATCCTGGGACCCTGAGGCTCTCTGCAATTCCAATAGGAGAACCCACTGCAACCTCCCCATCTGTGCAGTGCTCCAAAAACCCCAAAGCTTTTTCCTGATAGTGGTATTTCTGTGGGGAATATGCTGCCATGAGAGCATCACTCCTCAGTAAAGTCTCAAGCCTTCACTTAGCCCTCAATGTCAGATGCAAATCCTCCTTTCTCCTGTCTCTTTCCTTTCTTGAAGGAACGGATGGAAAAACTGTAAGCATTAATATTTTAAGCAAATTAGTACTTTAACACACAGTAAGGCTTTATCCTGGCCTAGAACAGATTCAGATCAGAACAGGAACTTGTTGATCTGACCTAGGGCAGCTCCCACATTACAATACTGATGAAGAACAAAATTCTTTTTTAATGAGAAAGATCCTTCCAGCAGATTTCAGAAATGTCAAGGTCATTCTCACATGCAACTAACAGAAGTTAATCTTCCCAGATTTTCCAGTTTTCCAACACTTTTAGGCTGGACAGTTTCCAAAGAGCCAAAGAAAGCAATGTACTATGCTTGGTAATGAGACCTTGACACAGCTGAGAGATAGGTAAGAACAGCATGACTCAGAAGCAACTAGTGCCTCTGGGAGCCAACAACTGTTTGCAAACCACCACATGGAGGACATACAAAGGTCAGCATTTGAAAAGGGAATGTGGTGTAGGGAGGAGAAAAGAGGAACAAAAACATTTGTCTGCTTCCTCTTGTATTTACTCGACCTTTGCTAAAATTACTCATTCAAGTCTTTTATCCCACACAGGCCAGACAAAGACACGTGGTCTTACCAGTGGTCTGTGCTTCAAGTTTGTTGAACAGATCTCTCCAGGCTAGATCTTGGAAGAAGTTGTTGTATCTATAATCTACAGACCCCAGATACTTGGCCACTGGATGAGAGCCTAAGAAAGAAAGGAAAACATGACAGTTGTTCTTCCTGCACTGAACACAGGTGTGTTTTTATCCGTAAGGAATTACATTCCAAAATCAAAACTACACTAGATACCCCTGAATTAAATTTCTTCAAATATAACAAAATAAAATAGTACAGCTTATCTCTACAAAGCATGCAAGTAGACTTCTCAACAGACAGACTGCTTCAACACCACCGATATTTTTCAGTGATACCTCCCCTTCTCTCTCACCAAATTAAATTTTAAAAGGCCAAAGAAAACAGGACTGGGAAACTGCTGAGGAAATAAATTATTTGGAAGACAGAGAGACCCTAGGGCTCTCCATCTCAGTCTCGTAGTTTTGCAAGTGACTTTCCCAGCAGACCTTCCCGCCCACAGGTTGCACCACGGCCAGGTCACCTCTGCCAAGAGGAGTCAGACCCCTTCCTCCAAACGCCATTCACACACAAAGGCTGTTTTGCAATACTGAAAAGAAGCAATTGTCTCTAGCCAGGAAAAAACAACCCAGGGAGGCTCGTTTCATTGGTGGAGAAGGGCTATAAGTTCAGTAAATAGGCTGTAATTAAAGACAGAAGGCAGAGTCCAAGGATTACAGCCCCTGGTGAGTGTTGGCATGTGCATCAGGTCCCTGCTTGCTCTAGCTAAGCCTTATGGCTCCTCTGTGAGCATGGAAAGACCTACTTACAGAAAGTTTGCATGTCCAGCCTCCATCTTGCAGCCCTGGATGGAGATTGGCCTTCACACTTACTTACAGTGAGCAGGAGGGGGAAGGCATTTAAGTGATCAACTCTGCCCTGGGAGGTGGCAAAAATCTGCCACCTTCATTTCAGGCCACATGTGTCCCCAAAGAAGATTACCTGCTCTTGCAACTCTCCAGTCTGCCAAGACAGGAGAGAAGGTGTGCCAGAATTGCACTTTCCAGTCACCACATTTCAGTCATGCTCAGCTTAAGCCCTATATATTTACCATCAGTCATGAAGTGGCCTCTGAGGTCCTTCTAATCAGCTTATTTTTATCCTTCCTGCATACCAAATTCTCACATCAAGCCACACTTCCAGTGACTGCAAAAGTTGAGTCATCAGCTGGTAACCGGTAAACCTAAAAACTCCTTCTAAGAAAAACTCAGTTGCTTTAACTATATTCACTATCCTCCAGGAAAGCTCATGGTGGAAAAAACTCCAGTCTTTTCTCAGTCCTCCAAGCCAGTGCTAATTTCCAGACTTCTAGGAAAGGTTCAAGCAGAAGGTCTCTCTGAGCTCCTCTCAGTGTCATTAGAGACTGGGACTTAAGTTCTTCCTGGACCCTCATCATGGCTACTTTCAGACTCATAACTCCTTTTGCAGTGGAGTTTTAAACAGTGCTTGTGGAACAGCTCTGCACCACGTACTGGAGAAGCTTTCCTTTGCTGGGAAAACACACTGCACATGGCAGATGCAGTTGGAAACAAGTACTATACACTAGGTCTCCCAAGAAGTTCTACCCATGGGAGCTAAACCAAATGATGAAACACCCCAAACTGCCAAAAATAACCCCCGACCATTTTTTCCTATTTTATTTGCCCCCTTTTCCATTGCTTTTACACTGGTTTGGACATCAAAGGAGTCTTTTAGCCATAGAACGAGAAACCTGAATCAGGACCAAATTTCCTTGCACAGATGCTTACAGACACTAAACATTTCTCATTGTTAACAAACCACTGTAGGTTGACTCTTCTGTCATTGCAGCATATAGTTGTGGACTAAGAAGATAAAGCCATCTTAGAAAAAACTCCACCACTCCTACCGTGCTGCTCACAGCAGAAAGTCTTTTCCTTTAAGACATTTATGGCATGGTCACCATTCTGTCTTTGGTGCTTTTTCAACTGTCAGAAAAGTGAGGTTGCTCCTCAATCACTTTAATGAACTGCCAGATAGCTGGCCAGAAATAAGCACTTGATCTGATCAGGAAATATCACAGATTTCTTTGGGAAAGGCCCTGTTAAAGAAGTTTCTATATTTAAAGTACATTTAAAAAGCATTCACAGTTCTGAAGTAGTTCCATTATCAAAGTGCTTTGTTAATTTATTTTTTTTTAATTACCAAAGAAAGTTTTAAGACTAAAAAACCAACCCAAAAACACACTAGCCGAAATTTGTGTTTCACTTTCAGAGAGAGAATATTTTCATATGATTAAAGGCTGCAGGACAGAAAACTCTTCTTCTGAGGCCAGGAGACAGCCAGCATGTGAGGACCAAAGCCCTCAATCAAACAGACTCTCATTGAAAGCACATTTAACCCTGTAGAAATATTTCTTTTGTGTTTTTACCCCCTAAAGGGCTCTCTCATCTTCCTGCCAACCTCTTTGGAAATTAAATGCCTTCCTTACAGAAGGATCCAGCCTTCCTCTTCTGCAAATCCCACCACTGAATCAACAACCTAACCCCACTGTTCATGGTGTCAGGCAGCAGCTTCTGACTCATACAGCAAATGCCATCAGCTGGTTCCAAATCTAGAAGACCGAAAAATACTGAGCAAAAGTGCTTTTTAAGTTTTCTGTTGCCTGCCCTGTTCACACAAGCCAAGCCTCGGACTAGTCCAGCTTCTGGCATCACACCCTTATAACACCAACACTGCCCAGAATGCCCCTGCCCACAAGCATCAGTGACCACCTGGCTTTCCACCCCTCTCCACTACAACATTCCTCACATTTCTGACTATGACAAGACCCCTAATGTTATTATCAGCCCACTCCACTTGCACAAGAGATCCAAGCTGGGTTACTTTCCAGCCAGGCAGGCTTGTTGAGCTCTTGGAAGGGCAGAGATAAAGTGCTGGAAAACTGAGGGAAAAACCTGAGGAGAACAGCACATGAAGGAAAGGTCAAAAGACACATGTAATTTGAATAATTTAAACTCTTAGCAGTTTCAGAGCCTTTAAAAAATTTTCAACCCCCCTCTCCTCCATAAACATTTCCTGTGTCAGTCAGAGAGGCCAGAACAGTTATCGCTTCAGGAAACACGGTGTGCAACGAATTTAAGATTTCAGCCAGGGAAAGGGCTTCCAGAACATTATTCTATGCATTCATTGTACCAGGATAAAAAGACATACAAGAGCCTCCCTGTACAGGGAGAAAGTACTGAACCCCTTGCTTCAAACCAAAAGTTTACAAGCAGATTTTGGCATCATAAACATAAAGATGAAATTCACTCACACAAGAGCAGCAACGCAAGCATTACAAAATACTATGACAGTATGACGTTTGCCTCATTTAACAGCCATATATCTAGCCACAGCTCCCAGGAGGGTTTCTCCTGAGGGAACACATCACATTTAACCCATTCAGCTTTCTATGAAGCAGAATCGTTCCTTATTTACCTAGAGGGATGATCAAAAATCTCATGTAGCCAAGCCAGTCTGGGGTTTTGTGAGACAGCTGCTCTACAAAGAGCCTCAATACAGCACTGAGGTAATTCTGGGCTCCGGCCACTGCAATTTTAATTGGGTTTGGAGGTTGTGAATTGCAGTTACAGCTAGACAGAAAAAGAGGGAACATATTCATCATCGTGCTTTCAAACAGCTATTTCAGAACAAGTGAAAAAAAAAAGTTAATAACAACTAAGGCAGAAGAGAGCTTGTTCAATACAAGGCAATAACACAATGATTATCAGCAGGTTAAAAACTTTTATTAATAAAATGCAACATTGCTCAGTACTTTCTTAATTGGTCTCCTTGCCCCTTCTTTCACACATTTTGAGAATCTAAAGGGCTGGACTAACTTTATCTAGGTTAGGATGTAACTATTGCAACTAATTCAGGGATCCACAGCCCTCAGGAGGGCCTTGAGAAATGGGAATTACTTGGGAGTGGGGAGAAAGAACTATTTAAAAACCTACCTATTAGCTTTGCATGCTTTACTGGTTATTAGATCCGACCTACGAGGCAGCCTCCAAAGCACAGTCTTTTAAAATCAGTGGTGTAAATGAATGGAGACTTGTATCACCACACACATGGCAGAACAGCAACAACTTTGCAGGACTGGCAAGTGCTGAAGAGCTACACAACTCTGACTTCAGGAGAGTAGATTGAGGAGAAGTATTGGAAGGGACCAGTATTTGTCAGTTATTGGATGGAAAACTCCCTGGGCACTGGGACACAGGAGCTGAGAGGCTTTTAGAGAGCTGAGACTCAACAAACACCACAAGCAACACGAGAACTTACTATCTCTGTATCCTGGAGACAATAGTGCTGAAAGCTGCCTGAATATCAGCTGAGGAGCATGTGCAGACCACTGGCAAGGTATGCTTTTGCAAGACATCTGATAGATACTGAGGAGAGAACAGAATATGTTATGGTCCTTTTTTTGGTACAGTTTGTCACAAGAAGAAAATCTGCCTCCCCCAGCCTCCTAGGTATTCTCGCACGCAAGTGCAGGCACTCTACCCATGTCCAATTTATAGGCAATGCAGCTGCTTCCCAAATAACTTGTCTTTGTGCATCAGCCAAAGGAAAACTGTTCCTCTAGAAAAATGGGAGCACTGCACTTTCTTCACAAACACCAACACTATATCCAAAACACAGCATTTCTGGCGACAACAACTCTAGAACAGCAGGGGTTTTATGGACACAGAGCAGGGCAGCAGCAGGCCGTTTGTCTAGCAGACAGCACTGGGTAAGAGCAGATGCTCTCTATTTGCCTGGTTCTGGAACCACAGTTGCACCTCCTGGATTTCAAAAGGACTTAAACAATGCAGCGTTCTGCCCACCCCTGGGCACTAAAAAAAAGGAAGACTAATACCAACACACACATGTTCCTCATGATGGACTGTTTCCCCTCTGTGCAGCTAACAGAAAACTAGTTAACACACACCTCAGGTATTCATGGACATAACACTGATGAGACTCAACAATTATCTCACACTTTCAAACTCTGCATTGCTAATCCATACACCCTGGCCAATGGCATCTTCACATCCTGATACTGCATGTACAAGCTGGTAAAGGAAGCTATTGGGAGAATACCAACAATACTTCCTACCTATCTACAGGAGGTATTTCTCCATCTTCCAAGTACAGAGAAACTGAAACCAGTAGCTCAGCTGTTATTTTTGATCTCAGACACTGAGACCACAGCTCTTCCAGAAGCAAAAAGCCAAACCAGTCGACATAACTCCACATGCCTGGCACAAGTTCTACAGGCCACAGTCAGCCAGTACACGTTTACTGTGTTTCTTCCATACACATTTTATTACTTTCTCAGACTGAGGTTCCAAAAGGAGCAAAATTTATTCTTAACTCCCACCCAAACCCATAACAAATCAGCCCATGTTGCCACCATAAGAAAGCACTGCCCAGGGTTCTCCTTAATACAACTGTCATACAGGAAAAGATGTGGTGACATAACTTGTAGTCAGGAATCACAAGTGTGTATGTAAGGCAATAGAGCAAACCTGAAATATCTTCTCCTATGATCAATACCTGTGCCCAGAAATCTCAGCCTAAACCACAGGTCAGTCCTCCCTGCTTTCTCTGTCCCAACCTACCACGGTCAAAAAGTAAGGTCCTGAGTGTAAGGATCTAGCCATTCCCAGTGTGCTGCTAACCAGGAGGAACGGCAATTCCTAGAAAAGGAAAAACCTCTGGGGAAAGACTGAGGTGGTAAATTCTTACAAGATCCACAGCATCTCCCAGTGAAACGAAACCCACTCTGTTGGCACTGAACCCTCAGTATACTGCCAGTCTCTGTGTACCACCACCGTTCTTCCAATCAAGCAGCAGAACATATTTGGTTAGTGGTAGAGTTCAAGGCCTGTCCATTCCTGAGGAGGAATAGTGAAGGAGAACTTTGCTTCAGGTAATCTCCTGCTTTTACCTGGCCTTGCCAATCAGAAGTATTGACAAGAATAATGTTTTCTGGCAGCTGGTCGTCCGAAACCAGGATGTGATTTAGTTGGTCATATACTGTTTTCCTGGGGATCTGGAAACAAAGACACAGAGAAAAGAACAGTAGGAGATATCAGCTCTAATCCTCAAGCCACCAGCTCCCGCTCTTGCATTCAAGCAGGTGGCTGTGCACAGTTGGCCAGTGTTTGGTCACCCCATCAACAGAAGCATGCTAGCAGCATCAACAGAAGCTGGCTACTGGAACTGACATTTATCAGCTTCTTCAATACTTTAATATTCTGCTGGGTCCTCGATCAGCCACCTTCATTTTGTCAGACATTACTCCTGCCATGCACTTTATACCAACCAACAGTAGCCCAAGGAAATTTGGATTCACAGAAGCCAGCAACACCCTCCTTGAAAGAGGGAATTAACTGAGTCCTTCAGCTAAGAGAAGCATGGCACATAGGCTCTGTACAAATCAGTTCCCTTTTGCAATTCATAGTGATTTGCCTTATTTCAACGGAGTAATTCCTCAACACATCCCTATTCGTTTCTCATTGTAACAATCTGTTCCAGTGTTTTCAGCTTATGGCTGGCTGACAAAGAAACAAGCTGGCAAAGCCCAGCAGATTGCATGGAAGATGCAGTACCAGCCAAGACATAAACTCCCTCCTTCCTGGAGCCGCGGGGCCCAGTTCCTTTCCAGCAGGGACAGCACTTGGACCAGAAGGAAAGAGACCACAGGAGACAGTTGGAGAAGAGGAAAAACTATGAGTGGCTGGAAAGACAGTAATCTTTTTCACACCTGTAAGTGGTGCCGGGTGTCTGGAGAGCGTTCATTGTCCAGACTGTTTGCTCTCTCGTTCTGCGGCCTCACTGGCTGCCTCTCCTTCAGAGACGTGCTCCTTCCCCGACGTCCCGTCTCCTTCCTTTCAGATCTGCTAGAGAGATGTGCTTGCATTCCAGACTTGGTTTGTACCCGAGCAAAATCCATCCCCCAAGTCCCAGATCACCCCCAAGTCCCAGACCACCCAGATCACCTCTCCTCCCAAGGGAATAACGACAGGACCAGAGGAAATGCTCTAAAGTTGCAGCAGGGGAGGTTTACATTAGATATTAGGAAGAATTACTTTACTGAGAGAGTGGTCAGGCACTGGAACAGCCTGCCCAGGGAGGTGGTAGAGTCACCATCCCTGGAGGTATTTAAGAAATGCATAGATGTGGCTCTTCAGGGCATGCTCTAGTGCCCAAGATTATTGGTTTGTGGGTGGGTGTGATGTGGTGAGGTGTTGTGTTTTTTGTTTTGTTGTTGGTTCTTTTGGGGGGGGAGGGGGGGGTTGAGGTTGGACTCGATCTCAGAGGTCCCTTCCAACCATGGTGATTCTGAGTCTGGCAACCTCAACAATTTGAGTAGAGGCATTGGGGAATCATGCATGTAGACCTGAGCTAGCTTAAGACCTTCTGATAGTGCAGAGCACACAGTTCAGCAGACTTCCACAGCCCATGCTAAAATCCACACCACCACCCTGCTAAGACCCACACCGTCTACACCAGCATAACAGGATCCAGCCATGCAAACTGCAGTCACACCCCCAAAAGCAGCACAGAAACACCTCTTCAAAAGAGCATCTATTGGTTTGCAAGTAACCACAGAAAATACTTGGTGGGGTTGATGAAGCTCACATTCACTACCCTATTTGGGAAGGTTTAACAGGACATAAGTTAGACTTGACAACCACCTTTAAGGCCAAAATCTGCACCAGAAATTGACTTTGCAATAGTATCTTTGAGCAAGCAGCTCCAGAGTTTTATAGAAACTCCTTTGGACATGGAGCAGGTACAACACAGGAGGCAGGATCAACCTCAAAGCAATGTTGCCCCTCAGGGTTCTGAGCATTCATCTATCCTTAAGTGCTCGAGACCCATCATTGGAGTGTCTGAAGACAATGAGGGTCTCCTTGTAGTCAGTGGCTTACGGCCATCCTGAACAAATGCTAGCAGGCTGTCCTTGACTTCCCGAGCAGCCCTGCAGCAGGCACAATTCTGTGTCACCACTCTACCTGGTGGATGGGATAATGAGAGACTCAGTCTTAGTGATCTTCCCGCTGGGTGGGAGCTTCTCAACAAACACATCTGGTGTGGGAAGTTCGACTTCCTGGACCTCAGCTTGCTGGTTAGACTCCTGCAAAAATACAGGGAACAGAGTCAACAGTGAACAAACCCTTCCCTCTGTCTCACTACCACAAGGGCTGTCAGGAGGCACCCCAGTCTCCTAATGCAATGCTGATTAATTCAGCTTACTCAAATGAAAGACATGGGAGAAATGTTACAAGCTGCATGTCCCCAGTAAAGCAACTTTAGCTTTGGGATTTTTTACCCCAGGACCAGCTTGATTCCTGCCAATTCAGATTGAAGTAATACTTCTGTCTGATAAAATGGAAAAGCCCCGAGAACACTTTTCAGGACATACTCAGTAGCATCCTTTGGGCCAGCCTCCCTCAAACCAAGAGAAAGACGTGAAGCATTTCAGTTTCAAAAGGCTGAAAGACAAGAACCTCCAACAACTAAGGTCAGGAGGAGAGCTCAGCATTATCTTCACTGCAGCAAATAATATCTTGGTAAATTGTGGTGCATATGCAACTATATGGACAGACACATGCCACAGAGCGCAGTTCACAGCTGACACCCAGACTGCCAGGAGGAATGTTAACAAGTGCATTTTCAACTTACATAAGGAACAGTGTCAGAGATACTGTCGCCTGCATGTTTGGCTCCAAGACTTTTTGTCTTTTCAGGCACTTCTACCTGCTTGAGAGAAGAAAAATCATTAGGAGGCACAGCAGAGTCTTCAGCCACACTCTATGGATCAGACACACTTCTTCGTTTAAACATGGAAGAGCTCTGCAGCATGACCAGGAATGGTTCCTGGTCAAGCTGGGACTGAATGCATTAGTGTGGGATGTGACAAAGCAGCAGCTGAAAAGGGGACGAAAAAGCAGGTGAGCTGCCCCTCAGCATTCACTCCCAGCCACCATGAAAAGTATCCCAACCATAGTAAAGTAAAGCTTCCTTGAAACAGTGCCAAGGAGTCCCTAAAACTCTCAGGCAACAGCTTTCATCCTGGCAGTCATTGCAAGTACATAGAAATCTGAAGCTATTCATATCATTAGCAAGTATTCAATACATAACCTGAAGATGTCCCATTGATTTAATACAATATTTGCTTTAAAAAAAACCACACCTACCACCGTTTCCAAAAAGCCCCAAAACAACATACATGTTTTCTTAGGAGAAAATTTGTATCTCTGCATCCACATCTTCGGAGGAGGTCAGAGAGGGTACTTTAATTTACATATGCAAATAGAGACAGTGTAGGTCTGCTATATTATCTGCAGATAGATACCCTTCTTGAAATACAACTTACAGGACTTGATGGCTCTCTCTGGCTCCTGATGCTGTGGATGCTACCAATTTCTGTCTGAGAGCTGGAGTGCGACAGTCCTTCAAAATAAGGTCTGAATAAGGAAAACAAAAAGAGTTTCTTATTATCAAAAACACTAACAGAGAAAGTCTATCACATTCACACCAAAGCAACGTGACTGTTCCCAGGTATTTCATTGCTCCCCAATGGTTCCAGTAAAATGTACAGGCAAATTTTGAAAGAAGATCTCCAGCAGAGCAAGAGAAGCCAGGAAGTCCAGGGACCCCTGTCTAGCCCTGACACTGACTGACCAATCTGCATCGAATGCACCCAACATATCACCTGTCACATAGCACACCTTATTTATAAAGCTCTTACTGGGAACACTTGCACCCTGTCACACTACACACCAAACAGCAGCTTTTGTCTCCATAAAATCCAGGGTGGGCGCATGGGTCCAGCATTTTCCCACAGCAGAACAGAATGCACCTTCACCCCTCACAAGCAGTCATGTCCTCACTACTGCAAGCATCAGGTGCAAAGTTTCACGCTGCAATTCTTGTTTCAGTGTTGCAAATGCTGATTGAGCTACATGTCATTCCAGACAGGGTCTAGCTCTTGACTGAAAGACATCAAGTAGAGTTAACCGCCCCCCACTGATACTCTGATACTTGCTCCTGCAGGGAAGTGACTCTCAATGCTAATACGCATTTTATTTCCAGCTCGCATCTAGATTTGGCTGCCAGCCCTAGGATCCAATTACACATTTGCTCAATAAGATAAGGCAGGGCGTACAATCAGATTGCACTTCCACGTAAAAGGCAGCTCATCACATCAGGCTACAAGACTCAATTACAATTTAAGGAACTGATTTTTTTGTTGTTGTTGCAGGAAAAACCTGCCTACAATCACCAGCATTTATCACATCCCTTTCAAGATATGGGCAAGAACTGGACACAGCAAACCACAAAGCGTCTCCCCAGGACCAAAGAGACATAAGTTCTTATTCCAGCAATATTCCAGCCATCACATATCCCAGAGCTCCTCAGCTCCAGGGAATAGGACATGAGCTTTCAGTGTATGCAGTACCTTGCTTTGGCTTGTTTCAAAGCAACTGCTTACCACAACACATCTACTTTCAAAACCCTTCAAGGTGGGGCCCACCAACTGGCAATATATCAGGTCAAGCTGCAAATGCCTTTATAAACCATCAGCCCCATCACTTACCACTGCTGCCCCAGTCTATCCTCGATGTCTTCTGCCTCACTGATAGGCAACAAGTCACTTCAGACTCAGAATTTATTCTTAGCCCAACTAGGTTACTCTACACTAATTAGGATATTATGACAGCTGGCAATTAGCTGGCACCTACCAGATACTGTACTGACCAACTGCAGTGGTTGGCTTTGTTTGTTTCAGCGCCGTCACAACAGTGGAGGCCTGAGCACACAACCACATGTCAGTCAGAAGCCTGTGTGCAGCTTGTACAGTCTCACATTTTCAGTCTTTATTCAGGCAGGGTATGACACAGCTCTGTTAGCTCAGGGTTCTGCACCTGCTTGAGACCCCGAGCCAGCGATGCCCAGCTCAGGTCCACAGTGCTGTGTTCGCCCACATATCATCGCCCACAAAAGCTGGTTCAGGATAGGCTTGTGTATATTTACGTGAGCTGCAGCCAGTCAGTCCCCTTGGGCCCTGAAAAGCTCCTTCCTTTCCTTGCTGTTCTGCTTCCTTAATCCCTGCAAAGACTCTCTTTCCACATAGGGTCTTATCAGCTTTTCCAGAGAGACACAGTCTGCCTTGTCCATCCCTGCCTCTACTTCTGCAGTTTCCAACTACGTCTCTTCCTGCCTCAGCACAGATTTCCTGGCTGTTTCTACCACCTCTTCAAAACATCCGTGTACAGTTTAATTCTACTGCCTCCCTATCAGCATTTCCTACCCCAATGCTCAGCTGGCAGGGAAGGCAGAACATCTGCAAAGGGGACAAGGAAGAAATGAGACTGAAGGGACATTAGATCACTCCCCCCAACTATCCCCAGTTCACACGCAGTCATACAATTTCTAATGACACACACACTAGGGCTCCAAACTAGGTCAAGAGAGGGGAAAAATCCAGGATGGAAGGGTGGCAATAGAAACAACATCTAAACTGTGCTGACAGCACGCACGGTGTCTCTGTGGCCTAGCATCAGCCACCCCACACTTACTTTAACTTTGGCTTCGGAGTGCTCAAGACGCTGTCATCATCCTCCATTTCTGGCCCACTGTCACTGGGATTCTCTATATCCAGTGTGTCATACAGAAGGTCCAAGTCCTCCTCCACCTCTGGAACGTGCTCTGCTGGGTCCTGCTCTGAATCCAGAACCTACACACGGGACAAAAGCAGGCATTGCTGACGCTGCTAGGAGCCAGACCAACCCCATGTCACCCGAGCTCCCCTGAGGGCTGCCGCACACCAGTCTTAAAAGTAAGATTCTGTTCCCAGTGCAAGGATACTATATCCAACAGAAACATTAGTATACAAGAAGTGCTTATTTTGGGTCAAGCTTGTCAGTGTTTGATTAAGCAGCAGTTACCTATTGGACTAAGCATCCACGAACAAGCCGTTAACCACAGATTAGGTCCATCATTCAGTACCGTTCTATAAACAAAGCTTTAAAAAGGCTCCTAAAGGCACCCCAGTTTTCTTAGAACAAATAAAGAAATGCAGTACTCCCAACTGCATAACCTGTCTTGGGTTTTACTGAAAAAGTTGCCATGAGACCTCCTGATTTGATACCCAAGCAGGTAGATGTGACAAAAACGTCCACAAGAGGCGCCTGGAACCTGGACAAGGATCAGCTGCCACCCACATGCAAAGCTGAAGAGAACAGGTATCTCACACAAAATTTCCACAGATTCTTTCAACACATCCACCAGAGTAAGCAGGCAGTTGTGCACAGTTCAGAGCTTGCTTTTTGAATGGCAATTCCAGAGAAGCAGCAGCTCAGCTGGCTGAGACCTCAGCTATGAGTGCTGACTCCACTGAGCTAACTGGGGAAGAACAGCAAAGCTAACAGAACTGTTTGGAAGCATAAGGAAGTATGAGGAGTTACTCACTCTTCCCAACAAGCCACAAAATCAGCACACAGACAGCAAATTGAGATGTTAACAGCTTTTATATTAGATACTTAACGTTACACAAGTTTCTTGGGTTCTGGATCTCTTTCATTTTCAGCTCTGACCAGACAGCTGACTCTCCTGCGGATCTGCATTCCCTATCCAAGTTTTTCTGTCTCGCCTAGCTGTTCTAGTAAGATGATCAAACAGGCTGGGACTTAACTTCATGGGCAACATACACAGTTGACTACTTGCCTTTGAACAGGTCAAAGATATTTCAAAGCAGTCTGCAAAACTAGTGGGTACGCATGTGGTTGCCAAAATCTGGTTTTGATAAAACTTGTTCTAGAAAATGTTTGATGACATTTTAAAGTTGGCCCTCAAGCCTCCATGCAAGGCCAGGGTGTAAGGAAAGGTCACATCCACTGCAGACTTGAAAACAAAATGAAGGAAACTACAGGGAAACAGGAGAGTGTTTCCCTGCAAGGGAAGGTGCACCAAGCAGTTAGAGGGCAACACACAAGACAGGAAGGCTTACAGATTGAATTACTTACCTCATCAGACACTTTAAACCTCTTCAGCAACGCCACAACCTTCTGTTTGAAGTTTTGTTGCTGCAAGTCAAAGACACATTTACTTTAATAAAGTGTAAGTGAACTGTTTTCTCCCAGTCTGCAAGAAGCCCAACACATCTGCCACTGGTGATCTAGCTGACGCTTCAAATCAAACACACAAACCAAGCTTCTGCTGTTCTCATGTTGAAATTACGTTTTCCAGACACTTCTTTCCTGCATTACAACAAACCCAGTCCCGCTCCACCAAGCATAATAAACCTTCTGGCCCTGATGAGCACATCACTCTTGGTTGGACACAGAGTGGATAACAAATTCTTTTAACTGCCAGATCACCTTCTGTACCTGTTTGACAAATTTCTGCCAAACGTTTGACAGTCAACTTTTCTGATTCTTAACAAGTGTGAGCCAACACCAGCCATTCTACCCACTAACCCAAAGTACAAATGTGTTTTCTACCAACAAAGCACTGTTTTTCCAAGAGCTTGCAGTTCATCCTGTCATTTATTTGACTAGCAGCACTGTAGAAAAGTTGTGGGGCTTGTCCTTAGCACTCACCTATCAGAAAAACGCGTTCCAAGTCTGATACCCACAGATCCTAGACACAGCAGGCACCAAGGCCAAAACAACATAAGCCAAACTGCTGCACTTCTTTTGTGTTTATTTGCCCCCAAGAGCACTCTCTCTCTGGTTGGACCAAACAGCTAAGATTTGCTATGAGCTGCCCAGCCTGCCTTGTCTGTTACTGACTGAACTAATACGCACACTCTGAAGAAAAAGAAGGTAAGAAGGGCTCAGTTGTGAGTGCTGGTACAGAGCATTTGAGGTGTCATCCCTGTGTCAGGAGGAAAGGGAAGAGAAAATGGCTGGCACCAAGCCACTCAGTTGAAAAAGGTTGCTCATTTGCTGGCTGTCCTGTATCTCACATGAGCTCTTCTTGCAAGTACAACTGCCTGCTCCTGCTCTGGCCTCAGACACTTCACACTGCCCCACACCTCCAAACCTAGCCCTTAAGCTCTGAACTCATCCTGCAAGCTTCAATCACCTCCTAAACAGCTAAAGTTTAGGTGAAATAAATCCACCAGGCCTCAAACAGCCAAAGACCGCCCTATCTCTGTCCCAAATGCACGTGTGAGACAAAGCCACTCTCACAATAGTGAGAGTTGTCCTCTGGCTGGAGATGCCAAGTAAAACTGTCCATCACACAGATCACCTTGGATCAGCACAGCAGTCTGCAGAGGGAGGACACACAGCATGCAGTAGCTAAGGTGACGTGGCAAGAGCTATTTGTTGGCCTGAATGGTTTGATAGTCAGCAGACATGAAACCTGTTGGGTTTGGAGCTGGACTGATGTTAACTGGCAGCACCAAACTCAGCTTTGCACCAGCTTCACACACTGGAGATTCAGTATCGTTTAGTGTTAGAAATACATTATTCTTACTAAATGTAGGTTGCTTATTTTATGCTGGCTGGTCACTAACACCTGAAAACAATACTAAGGACACCAAGGATATGAAATAGTATGCTCCTGGTTGCATACAGAGGGCCTTTTTAGTGGCAGATTCAGGTGGAAGTGGGGTTTATTTCAGACCTTATCAAAAACATGGATTTCAGGAATAACCTCACAGGAGGAACAACGATCTCCAAACTTACTCCTAAGTCCAAAAAAGAAAAACTAGTCCATCCTGGTGGTTTTGAATTGTTGTAATCACAGACAGGCATAAACACTTGTGTAAGCAGAAAGCTGCGTTACGGCATGGTCAAGCACAAGTTGCTGCTCTACACAGAAGTGCAGCTTTGCAGGCACTTACTACAAGAGGGTGGATAGCTGCATGCAACGAGCCAAAGCCTTCAATATCCAGCCACTTCTTTTGCCTCAGCACCACATACACCACCTCAGGTTTATCTGTCAAGCTCCAGTCCCTGATTGAGCTACTTAACTTCATTTTGACACCTTCCCACTGGCCTCTCCCATGCACAGCACAAACAGAAGAGCTTCCATTCACTTAAAGCTCCTTTCAGGACTTACATGAGCATGGATCCTGCACTGGTTTCTTCATGGGGGTGACTTTCACACACTTAGATGACTTTTGGAGCTCCTTAACCTTGCAGCCAAAGGACACTCAAGACAGCACATACACACACCTTGGACAGCCCCAGCTCCTGAACTGCCTGCTTCTGGTAGCTCTTCACATGCTGTGACCATGCCCCCTAGCTCTCTGCTGGGCCAGCATGTCTACTACTGCTGCTCCCATAAGCCACATGCACTGTGCATCCTGACCAAACCCCATCAGTGTTAGTAAAACTAATTTCCACCGACCCTGGTTATGGACGTCGTTCTTACTATCGATCTCCGCTGCTTCTTGGGCTTCCCCAGCTCGTACTCATCATCATCCAAATCCTGAACAGAAAGAGGATTCCTGTGTTACCTTTGTGATTTGGGGACACATAAGCATTTAAGGGCTAAAAATGTTCCCTCTAGGAAAATGAACCCGTTGCTCTGTCTTCCAGGCTTTCAGCATTTGCCTTAATTGCAGTTATGACAGCAGAGGGAAAAAGGAAGTGAACCAGGCCTGCAGAGAGCCAGGAATAACTGCTCGGAGAAGCCAAACAACCCTAGTTCTACATGCAGTGAACAAGGATAGTCACAGCCCCACATTTCATGGGTTCCTCTCTCTGCACACTCCGAAAGGTTGAAGGCAGGTGATGCCAGAGTCTGGAGGCAAGTAAGACCCAAACTCCAAAGCATCTCACACCTAGCCAGTGGGTTTTCCATAAGGACCTATTTTGCAGTAGGTATTAAAGACTAAAGACCACAGCTGGGGTTTTACTTGGGCTCTTTGAATCCAATCAGTATTACAGAAACAATCAACGGATACCTTGACCATTAAGTAGAGAAACACACAAAGATGCTAATGTTTTAGTGTTTAAAGGAGGCTCAAGTTCAAACATGTGAACAGATAAATCACAGCATGGTGGAAGAAATGGGCTACTGTGCAGGCCTTCTGCCACTGTAGCTAAACATTTGGTGACAGTCTCACACTGTCATGATTTAGCTAAGGAAATGGGCTTTTAGTTTCAAGCACAAGCTGAGAATGTACACACTCTACTGAAGCTCTCACAGGGAGAAGCCATGCCCTAAACAGTACCTGGCCCTGTACGGCATCATCACTGGCCTCCTGCTCAGAAGAGAAGCTCTCGTACTCTTCCTCGGAATAGTTGTCTGAAAGGGAAGGAAAGAGGGGAGAGATCCCGTGAAACTCCTTTAAGGTCAGGGGACAGTGTCATCTCAGGAGCAGAGAAGGCCAACTAACAGTCACAAATCAAGAAAGGAGGCACACAAGGAGATGCCTGCTAATATATCTTCTTACTGTGCTAGAACCAGTGAGATGGGAACCTCCTGAAGGTAAGGAACAAGGAGAAACACATCTAATAGCAAGGACGGACCAGCACACAGATAAGGCTCCTTGAAACACCATCCCCTTTTACCCTGGAAAGAACCACTTGGTAGACAGCAGCAAGCAAAGAGGTTTCTCCACAAGGGAAATTACTTTTTTCACTAACATGGGCATAACTCACTTAAAGGAGCAAGTAAGACTTGCCAAGAGAGTCTAAGTCCTTCATTGAAATGTTCAGGTGAGCTGCCTGGCCTCAGGCAACAACACACAAGTACCTGTGTGCACTACCTTCAACAGGTCACTCTTCTAGCAGTGAGCAGAAGGCTGGTACCACATAAAAAGACTGTCAGAAGTAGAAACCCAATGACTTCCCTATACAGTGAACACCACCATGGATTTACACTCATTAAACCAGGCCATAGTTCATGGCAAAACATGTTGCAGTTTGCAGGTCTTATCTAAGTTAGATTTATTGTAGAATAATCAGAGGAAAAAGAAGTTGGAAGAGTAGCTGAAATGAGAATCTCCTGAATACAACACTGTTGGCCAGGTGAGAAGCTACAGGTTCCCAACACGCCAATGCTCTTCCAGCATTACTGGAAGGTAAGAACACAGCTAACAGGCTCAGGTCTGGTGTGATATGCAGGAGAAGCTTTGACAATTCAATCCCCCACTCCTGTGACACTCCCTGCTCACTCAGTAACAGGTTGGCAAAGTGAGTTTTCTTTGCATTAGTCAGTTACAGACACAGCAACTTGTGCAAACCCATTCTCATTTGTCCCAGGAAGCACCTAAGCCCAGGCTGGGCTTATCTCCAGCTAGTTCAGGAAGACAGTGGTCCTCAGAGCACGTGGTTGTACTCTTACCTGTAGACTTGATTTTCTGGCTGGCCTGCATAGTGCTGTCTTCATGGTCAATTGGCTGACTTGACAAGGAGAAGATCCAGATTTCTGCTACCTTCACTGCAGCCTCTTTGATGTTGCTGAAAAGGCTCAGAACCTGGCCACCTTCTGTCGGGTGCTGCATGACCTGGGACAGAAATTAAGCAGTAAAAATCTGCATTTAGATGTACTTCAACTTGCATCGTTTGCATACTACAAGAGTTACTTATGTTAATAGGGTTACTTCACATATCCAAGTACAGAAGAAAGGCAACATCCTGCAACTGCAGGAGCCACTTGCAGGCAATACACAGTGCTAAGTTGAGATTTCATTTGACTACTAATAGAAGTGATCGAAGGAAAGAAAAATCATTCTGAGCTTGACAGTTGATTAGCTCATCCTTGAAGCACAATACTTGACTACCTCATTACTATGTATTTGCTTTCATGGCACAGTACTGATTTGAATTATCAAGTTACCAACCTTCTGAACACCTAATTAAGTAACTTAATTTTGTGCTAAATCCCAGCAGAAGAGCCAGTAAAGGCAAAAAATTCTTGATGCGATACAGACGCAAAGTGCTTCCTAAAGCAAAAATCCACGCTCCAGAGAGCTGGCACCTGCATCTCAGAGGAGCTGCCCACCCCAGGATAATGAAGCAGCGGGTCAAGAAAAACAAGACGACGGTGGAGGCAGAAGAACATCTTGGTATGGTTTTCTCCGTCCTTTGTCTCTCACATGGCTGTCCCTAGAACCTAAGACTTATGTTCTTCTTTTGCCCCACTGGAGTCAGAAAGCGCCTCCCCACAGCTGCACCTCAGCTTTCTAATACACACCAGGCTGCTTTGTCAGCTCCTCACACAGATTTAGAATGACCTGAGCTGATGAGGAACATATGCCTCCCTGCTGTTAATCTCTGCTTAGACTCACAACTCCAATTCATTGCTTTGTTTCAACAGCTAAGAGATTATTATTTTTTTTAAATAAATTTTAAGACATGCATCAGTGCTGTTTAGGGGTCATTATACTATAAACTGCAGGGAGGGGGGGGCTTGTAAAATTTGTTTTCCTGAAGTCTTCAATTTCAGAAATATTACAGATGAGCTGGAGAGCAATTATTTCCTAGCATTGTGAACCTTTGAAAATTTTTGACCTTCTAACCTCAGTCAGCTTACACCACAAAAAGACTTAAGAAAAACCACATGCAGCAGCAGCAAATGCCCAACACTTAAAAGTTCACTGATGGACCTAATTAATGGGCTCACATGTTTTTTGCCTTACAGCAGTATTTAATTTCCAGTTCCTAAACAAACCAAACAGTACAAAAAAAAAACGTTAGCTACAACACCACAAAACAAAATGTGGCCAATCCAAATGGGGAGTTCAACGTTTACTTCAAGTCTAAGGGAAGCTGAACTACGCATGAGGAGTGATCTTTATAATTAGTTGTTTAATATAGTTGTAACTCACCACAGCATAACACTAGCTTATTTTGCTTGGAAATGATTTGTTGACAGAAGGCAGTCTGATGAAAAATACTGGTGTTAAGATGAACTTGCTACTGCTAAGCCCATCTCTAAACACTCAGAAACAGAAACAGCAGAGATTAAACAGGGCATGAGATAACAAAGCATGGAGCTAACTGTTCAGAAAGCCTAAGTGAATAATTTATTCATACTTGATTCCAGCATTAATTTTCAGATGTAAATCTGAAAATTTTATCACTTAGCTCACATGACTAGAACTCCACCCAAATCACTAACAGCTATGAAATAAGAAGTGCACAGGCTATTTCAAGCAAAATGACAGAAACGACTTGATTCTGAACTCTCGTACAGTGGCACAGAGAAGAACAGCAAACCTTGCTTTAACTTGAACATTTCTTAGGCTTGGCAGGCTTGCCCGAGTGACCCTATCTGTCCATTCTGTACACATAAAACAACAAAACATTTTACACCTATGACCGACCCGAGACAAATGCATGTATTAGTTCAACTGAACGCACTGCAACTTCTGCTGTTCCTTCCAGGAAACATGATACAAAAGAATATTTACTAGTTCTAAACTTATGCTCAATTGTCCTGAATACAAAGGGGACTGCATTGTATTCAGGTGAAACGACCTGGACCTCCTAACTCCAAAAAAATCCCCACCCAACAACAAACCCCTCACAAGGTAATAAGCTTCATGAAACCTTTAGCTCTCAAGATATCATCCAGAAGATGTAAAATATTATTACTCAGTAGTAAAATCTGTTTAAAATATTTCCTTGTGAATACTGATTACAGTTATTAAGACAGCTACATGAAATTCTGTCAGGTACTTCTCAAGAAGCAAGTGACAACACTGGGTTTAAAGAACAGGAAAACGTCCCCCTTTGTAAACAGAGATCATGTCAAATGCTCCTCACCTCGGCCATGTTAATAGACCCCACAGCCAGAGTCTTGTAGCCTAAAATGGTTCGGTTCTTGTACCGCTTCCGTCGCTGCAGCATGATCTGAAGCTTGTTGCCTTCTCTCTTCAAGAAGTGAGGGTACTGCGGTGGAAACACAACGTCAAGAGACATAATAAACTTTTCCATTATCTCCCAAGCTGCCTGCTTCACCAGTAAACGCTGTTCCTAGGAATTAACCCAGGGCTTTTAGAAGTGCTAGAGCTAACTCGCACTCCGTGGACAATCCTTCATTATCCCAAGGAAGCCTTCATCTCTGCCCAAACAGCTCAGCTCTTGCCTTTCACTTCCACAGCCAAGCACACTGAAAACACAATCTGGGATGCAGAGGAGCTGTTGAGTTTGGGAAGGACTGAGACCAAGCCTGGTTCCAGAGAGATAAGAAGCCTCCAGGAGATGCTTTCCCCACCAGCTAAACACAGGCTGCCTAGAACTGGAGCCCCAGAGGTGCTGCTCGGGGCACGGGCTGCCCCTGCACATACAGCACAGCCTTCCCTCCAGCACATGGATACTTTGCAGTGTTTGACCCTCTACTGCATACGTTTAAGAGCCTATTGTGCTCTGAGTGGCAAGTAGAGACACAGCTATGAAGAGGCCAACGATTTGTTCATGTCTTTTTTGCTAAAGCACGGAGATGATGTGGTCTGCTTCAGGCACGTGGCTCTTGCAACTGTCAATATTTTCCAGAATTAACACAATCAAACTTCTGTTGCTCAAAGTGTTTTGATTTTAGGTAGTTAAGAAAAAGCCTGTCCTACTGCCAGGCTACGTTGCAAAGACATAAAGCCTTCCAAGACACATTCCATAAAAGAAAATACATTTGTTTACATATCACTCAAAAAAAAAATCCCAAGAGCAGAAAGGCTCTGAAGTAAAGCAGAGACGATCAGGCAAGAACTACATGTTTTTGTTTTTTTTTTTTCCTTGGGACATTGTGAAAACAACTTCCTCCCTATCAAAACGTTTGATAAATACAAATGCTGAGTGCCACCAGAAACCCTGAGATATTAATTTGCAGTCCAGAGCAAGCCTGACTGCTACGCAGAGAGCTGGGAGCAGTGGCCACACAAACAAGCAGAATACTAATTAACTGATCACTCTGCAAGGGCGAGATCTGCTGTGCATCGCACAAGGAAGCAGCCCTGCAGAAGAGAGAAACAGCAGTCCACGTAATTAAAATACAATCTCAAAACACACCTGCATCCAGACACAAATTGAGCCTGTGACTTTGCAGACGTGCAACATCCCTAAACAACCATCTCCCTGCCTCTGGGGCCCTTCCACGGGTTGGAAGGGCAGCAGAGGAGAGGGACTTCTTGCTCTCAGCTCCAGGCACTTGGACCACACCAAGGCTGCCTAAGCACATGTCTGCAACTAAAGTCCAAAGTCACGCTTGGTCCTAGGCCAACCCGATTTCCATGCGTACAAGTTTTGAGGGATTAAACTGGATGGCTCAAGTCCATACATGTGCAAGTTTCTGTTTTGCAAAGGTGTGCTGCCTGGCCACCTCTGATGAGAATTTACAGAGATGATAAAAGAAAGACACAGAGAGATGCAGGCCACTCAGCTCCTCAGTTAAAAGCAAAGGCCTCTAGAAGAAAAGCCAAGCCATTTTCACAGGACAAGCTATTTTTAACACCAGCCATAGCTTATCAACTCTACAGAATGGTTTTGACCAGAACTTTTTAGCAATTGTCAGTCCATGACAGAGACTGGGGAGGAAAACAGTTTGGCTTAAAACATTTGAACACAAGACTTTCCAAGGAAGCACCAACCACTTCAAGGCACCTCCGAGGAGTGAGAAGAGGGGACCATCTCACACACCAGAACAGCGAGAGTCAGGGCAAGACATTCCTTCTGAAGCCCCGGTGATGTAATTCCTTCCATCTGGAAAGGTTTATTAGATTAAACACAGGAATTAAGCGCTCCAGAGAGCTGCAAAGTTGTGCTTGGAGTATTTGGGCAATTTCATTTGATGCTGTGAAACCCATGGAGAGTCAGAAGTAGCCGCCATTCCAGCAGTAAGGTTGATGGTAGCTCACCTGCCAGAAAGTGAGCTGGCTACTGCTGACCTAGCCCTAGCGAGCAAGGTGTAACAGGATCAGGCACACCACCACTAATTCCAGTCTTATCCCAGCTGTGGAACAGAGCAACAGGAAACTCCTCCCTTGTGTTTGAGCAGGGGCCGGCCAGATGCAATGGGCGGCTTGCTGTTACACCAGCCTGCACCGTCACCTTTCCAGCTTAGCTCTGACAAGGAAATGCTCCATGCAAAGGACAAGCATTTCACCCAGGAGAAGCAGCTGAGAAGGCGGTGGCTGTGAAGATACAAGGGGCTGCAGTTCCAGACAGCCAGCACAAAGCCAGGCATACAGTTTGAAGAGTTAACAGTGGGATATGCAGATACCAGCTGCTGCAAGACACTGAGACCTTCTTGTGCTGTGACATCCACATGCTTTTACTTTGTGGCCCATCATCACTCTCAAATATATCCCAGGCACTAAATTCAGACTGTATCTGGCTTAAGCCACAGTTGTTAGCTAGGAGTAGCTCCCAGCTAACGTCCAATTAAGAAACAATAAAAGCTGTCATAAAAATCCTGCTGTTCCATTTCAGGAAGTTTTCCCAGGCCTAACTGCATTCAAGACCACCAATCCATCCCGGAGTTCAGAGACCAGCAGCACATCTCTGCATTAAGCTTGCTCACCTCTTCTGAAGGCTCAGTGCCACAGACATTGCTCTCCCCTATTCTGGCTCAATTCCCAGCCCCCTCAAGGGAAATTGAGATAGACAACGCTCTGCATCCTGCTGCAGCACTGCTCTGAGTCCCAGAAAAAACCAAACATATTCCCAGTTAATTCCAAAAAGATCTGCAGAAATCTTCGCTCCTTGCTGACACAGGACTGGCAGAAGGACACCTGGCTCATCTTACAGCCCTGCTCTCAACCATGGGAAAGCTGCAGCCCCAGGACCCAAGCACAGGTATTCCTGGCATGCAAATTTGCTATTCCTGCTCGAAAAGGAGGGGATGCTATGCTGCAATTAACCCAGTCTGTGGGCTGCATCAGGACAGAAGCATCAGCCATCTGTGTATCTCCCTGGGCAGTCGCAGGATTATCATCTGTCTGCAATGAAATCTTACCTGCTTCGAGTCTGCACAGGTCTCAGAGTATCAGAGGTTCATCTGTCCCATTCCTACCATTGCCTTCAGTCAGCCTGATACTCCATGCCACTCCCCATGGCTGCCCCTCTCCAGTGCCCACTCATAAGGCAGACAACAAAAGGCAAAAAAGAGTCATCCCACTCAGCTCCAGTTCACACCACAGCCATAACATGAAGAGGACAGACAGCAGCAAAGCCCTCGTGTTCCTGAGCTCCAAATACAGAAGGCACAACAAGGAAGGTTTCCTAACACTGTAAACCAGCACCCTGCTCCAAGTCCTTAATGCCAAGAGGCAATTCAGGCAGATTTGTGTTGTTGAGCTGAGGACATGCAAATTGCAGCTAGTGTCTAACCTGCCTTTTACCCCTAGACTAGTCAGGATTAGAGACCTGCCTTCCATGATGCACGGCTGGCCCCAAGAACAACTCTAATGGTTTATACGGCAGCTTTCCTAATGGGCTTCCTACTCCCCGGATCTTGGAAGCATCTAGGCCATTTTTGCACAAATTCCCCACTGTTGACTGCCCAGAGATAAGTCAAAAGAGCTCCAATAGCTTTTCAGAAATGGCTGGGACTGCCTTAAGAACAAGCATCTCTGGCACCACTAGAAGGATCTTCACCTCAGACCCACAACACACCTCTGCTCACCGCAAAGCAGTAAGACCAGCAAATACACATGCCCCAAGGCCACATCCCACCTTACCTGCAGTGAGAAGGTCAGTGCAAGCTCGGTCTCCACATGTCCACTCGGGGGCAATACAATCTCGTGAGACCGCAGGATGCGCTTGGAGCCCTGTACAGAAACAAAGTCCATCGGGTGAATTCCCCAGAAGCCAGCACTTAGATCCCACTCCAGTCCTAGTTACTGAAAACCAGGAAACATTGTCAAGGACTACCACAGAGAAAGTGAACGGATGCGTCTGACCTTGCACTTCTGTGAAATATTAATGAGATGAAAGGGAGTTATTTCACTAATAAAGATTTGGGCATATTTACTGTCTCTAACTGCAACAAAGCAGCTTTTGTTCTGCCAAACCCCAGCATTCAAAAGCTATGAGTCAGCCCCCACCCCTCAAGTTCAAGTCTCGTATTTTTACTTCAGCCAATAGGTACAAGGCTTATCTCTTGCGTTTGGAGGCTGCAGAGTGATGCTTAAATCTTTGGTGTTAGCCATGATGGACTGGTCTTTTTGTGTGCTTACCCCTTCCTGGGGACAGTGGAGATTTTAATCTGTTTAAATAAAGGTGAGTAGCTGGGGTTATAAACGAAAAAAATCTTCAGCAGAGCCTGGAGACCTGAGACTATTACAGGACAACTCCAAACCAACACTGTGTTTGGGCTGCTGTGCACTGACTGAGCTACTGGGCTATTTACTGGGAGATTTCATTTCAGGGAAAACTAGCAGTCTGTCGTGCTTTTCTGCTGCCTAGCAAATCCTTCTGCACTGTTCAAACACAGTGGCAAGTTTCAGAGGTCCCTGGCTCAACGTTCTGCTGAGGCTGCAGATCTGTCTTTGTCCAGACGGGCTCATCTCCCAGAAGCACCAAACTAGCTCTCAAAAAAGCAGCATCTGGGAAATCAGAGACAGACTGGGGGGAGTAAACCCCTCCCAGCTACATCCAAAGGAAAATCTGGTCTGCCCATATCAGCCTCAAATAGCATCCTGAGATGAGAGAGAAGCAGAGGCTTGTTTACATCCCTTCCTCCCCAAACACATCGCTCAGGCAGCCAGAGCGAATGCTGTGATTTGCAGCGGTGCCTCAGCTCCTGCAAAACACAGTGCAGGCTCCTCTGTGGAAAAGCCGAGGTGCATAAACTCCAGCAGATCAGAAAACAGATAGCAGAGCAGAATGAGAAACTGAAGGGCTCCCCCCAGGAAAAGTAGCACACATGGAAGTAAAGCACAGCTAGCCTCACCGCTGGCAACAGCGGCATCTGTTCCGTTGGTGTAAAGCTCCTAATAGCAGCAATCTTGCTTTACTTGTTATGCAACTCGAAATCTAATGAAAGACCAAATATAGCTGCTTTTAAAAGAGCACAGCAGATAAATAGAGCAACGGCTCAGGACATACAGTTGACAACTCTTTGAACATCACTGTTCAGGAGGCTGCAAGGAGACACGGGAAATGCAGGTAAGATGCTCTCATTAGGTCTGAATTCAGTCATCCCCTCTGGAAGGGCTCCAGTGCCTGACACCTCTCTCTCGCAATCCCCCATACAAAGGCAGTGAGTCATTTGACAGAGATCGTATATTTGATGATCCAGTACCACCAGCCTCAAATAATAGCCATGTCAGAAACCTGAGTGCTGGCAAATTAAGTGTCCCTGAAAGAGCTTGTCAGCAGCATCATAACCTGCAAGCTATAAAGGGTCTTTTAATAACAGGGCTTCAAATCTGCCTGCGCCTGAGACAGTTGCAGTGCTACTGACCCACCGTCAAACAATACATCACAAAGAAATATGGGTGCTGATTCAGCACAAGGGACACCCAAGCTGAGGCACCCTCTGGGACAGCAGTCATTCCAGCCACTGTCACCTCTAGGTCAACTGGAAGGACAGATCAAAAGCAAAAGAAGGATGGCCTGGGGATGGGAGCTGCAGCCTGGGACGTGGCAGATGAGCATCCCAAACAGGGCAAGTCCTTCTGCCTTCCCGTTCTACAAGGATCTGCTTTGGTGTAGAAATGACCGCAGAAGAAGTGTTCAAGTCCAGTGTCCGACTGTGACAAGGCAGATCACAACACATACTCGAAATTGACAAGAAAGTCCCACATGTTAAAACTCCCTCTGAACTTGCAAGCCTGGGGCAGCATTTCCAACCTTTTCACCCATAAAAAGTGTAAGCAGTCAGCAGTAACCTGGACAGGAAAAGAAGGTTTTGCTCTAGTAAAAGCTACTGAGTTCTCCAACCCGAGTCTGACATGATTTACACATAGATCATTCACTGACAAGCCTCAGGCCCTTGCAGTGACGCACTCACTATCTAGGAGTACAAACATATGGAAAGCTTTCAGCCCCGATAAGAAATATCTGACAGCCTGGGAACCCACAACCGTGCTTCTTCCAAGGTTCCCATGAATCCAAGTGTGTGACATGATTCCCTACCTTTCTGCTCCCTGCTGTGGGTGTGTGAACCCCCTCCAACAGAGAGCCACATTTTTACCCCAGCTGAACTGTTCAGAAACATGAAAAATGCTGGTTAAATCCTCAGCCGCGTGTTCTTGCACCATAGAGCCTTCATGATTTCAGTTTCAAAGGTAGATTTTGTGTGTTTTGACACAATCAGCTCTCTGCAGGGGTTTTGCTGGCTCTTTAATTGAAAAGCAGCAGCTTTTCAGCATGGTTAATGGTATTTTTCTACTTATAGGTCTGCTAGGCTTTAACTCACTAAGTACTCGAGCATTTGCAGTGGTGGGAGCACGTGAGCTGAACTGATGCTGTGACACACTGTGGAACCAAGACCCCTTCCTTCCTAGCCTGCCTCCAGGCACTGTGACCTACATGTAGGCACCTAATTAAATGGCATAGACGTATGCTGTAAAGTGGGTTATTTACCTAGGATGACAGCTGTATTTTATAGAAACAAATTAAAATGTACATGCATCCTACAAATCCACTGACAAGCACCTGGCTACGAAATGACTTGGACTCCTGATAGCAGAGCTGCCCATCAGCAGAGGAAGGCCCAGTCTCCAGACACCCCAAACCAGGACCAAGTTACCAAGATGTTCAGCCCTAAAGTGAGATGAAGCATGTTAAATAGTGAACCAGGCTTGGATTTAGTGACAGCTCGGAGGAAGAGGTGACAGCATATGATATGTAAAGAGCATTTTTTACATTTTATCAAAGCTCATGCTGAGCCCTCAGCAAACAACTTTCCTTGCTTACAACAGTGAAATTCAATAGGAACACGGGGGAAGGACCACAAGAGACTCTACACACACCCAGAATGCCCTGATGTACTTGAGAAGAAACCCGTGGCTGCAATGGACCCTAACATGGAGGTGAAGCTCAGTTTAGGCATCTGCCAGTATTTTTTCCCCAAGCAACACATTTAATTCTCAGAACTGAGCAGCAATTACCTGCATTTTGACAGCAATGACCCCAGAAATAAGCTCCTTATCCAATTCCTTTAAGACTACCAGTTTCTTTAATGTCAAGCTGCACAACCTGCAAACAGGAACAGAAGAGAAACAGTTACAATCATGCCTGAAAAAGGAAAAGCTCTGAACAGCTTTTACACACAGCAGTATCCCCATTTGAGGGTGAACAGGCTCCGGGCATAAGCCACACACTGATACAGACATAAAGACAGTAGAAATACATGAGTCTTCCCTGGCTTTTCAGACTGAATTCCTGCAAACTTTCACAAATACAAGAAGGTGGACAGGAGGGACATCTCTCTGTTTGATACAGACCCATAGCCACATGAGAGCGCCCCACAGCACTTCCACCGACCACAGCCTGGGAACTCTTGCTCTGAGTCAGACCAAAAGCTTTAGGGTCAGAGGAATTAAATTCCAGCAATATAAAAGGACTGGGTCAGTCTAATTTTAAACTTGTCCACAAAGCTTTCCTAGATTGTTGGCTTTTTCATTTTCAGACTGCTGGCTCCCAAAGATCTCAACTCCCACCTCCTCTTGTCAACCCACGCATTCTCCTCCTCACCCCCAAACAAAAGTGCTAGCAAGTGGCTCAGACATCTCTAATGGGAAAGGGAAAAAAAAAAAAAGAAGGAGAGGACTCAAGCAGTGCCCTCTGGCCCTGGTGTTCACATGCCACACATAAGCAAGTAAATCACATTCTTTACCCAGGCAATGCTACATTGTTCTGGTTAAAGCTGTTTGCACTTCTGCCTCCCAGCACAGAGAGCTTGGGAAGGGATGAAGTTTGGCCCAGGTAGAGCTGAGCTGAGGCTCTGAGGTAATGGGACCACAGTACTGGCACTGCCACAATTTCACAAAAGTTACCACCAGCTGATGTAATTAAGAAAGCATGCCCAGAAACAAACTTCAAGGAAAGATAAACCTGAAGCAAAGGCAGCTTAGCTTGAGGAAAGCAGGGGCCAGGGAAAAGCTACCGGGTGGGCTCTAGTGACTAGACATCATCCGTCACTCTGGCCAGGAGCCAGCACTGCCTTTGTGTCAGGTCCCTACCCCATGGCATGGGCGGCTTTGGCCTCTGCCATGGGATGTTAGCAAGCCTCAGCACGGCTCCTCTGAAACCCGCTGCAGAGCTCTTTCTTCCAAATAAAGTGTAACTGTTGACGAAGGGGCCAAGTCCAGTAGGAGACAGGAAGAGAAGAGGAGCTGATGCTGGATTCCGGTGAACGCTCAGGCAGCAGCAGCACAAGTGCTGCTGACTGAAGCCTGCACTTAAACTACAGGACTCCACGCTGGTGCCAGGAACCCCACAAGCCACCACCGCAAGGGCGACTTGTACCTCCACCACATTCTTCACCACAATGGGAAGCTGAAGCATGGCTTTGCTGCAGTGCCTGAAGACAGACACGATCAGCCTGGGTGCAAAATTGGAGGAGGGACGCAGCTAAAGGCTCTTCCCCACAGGAACAGACCTTGAAGCAACAGCTGCCTGCCTCATCCAGGAACGCCTGTGGCTCTGCCTCAACTCTGTCCTCTTGTGCACAGCAAGGGACAGGGAAGAGCACCATCTTAGCTCTTACGGTCTTCGCTCAAGCAGTTCTCCAAATGCCCTTGCCAGCTTCTTCTCCACCCCAGCCCATGCTATTTGCTCTCCCTGCTCATTTGCAAAGCACTGGTTCCTGCTATCAGCACCTCACTCGCAACCCCCCCCCCAAAAAAAAACAAAGAAAGAACTAAAAGCTCTCTCCTTTGCAGAGTTCTGCATCAGAAGACAGCACAGCCAGAGATACTGTAGAAATTACAAGGAAGGTGGAAAAACCAGGCTTGCCAGGGTCTCCCTTCCCCTCTGTCACACCACCAGCAGCTGTGCGTAGTGTCATGGAGACAAACGTGCCAGAGAAGGCGAGCCAGGAGGTGCTGGGTGCTGGAGCAGGGATGGCAGAAGCAGGCAGGACCAGCTGCAGCTGCTGCCGGGCTGGCAGAGGGGGGACCGAGCAGGCTTTCACCTGGGGGAGAGCCTCCCCCCTGGGCAAAGCAAGCGCCTGGGGAAGCGGGAGAACACAGGCCAGCATGTTCATTGGAAAACCCAAGCATCCCTGTGTGCTGGACGTCGCGTGAGGCTGCATCCAGGAGAGGCTGCCGGGTTTCCCTCTGCATCCTGGACAAACCAGCAAGCACAGACACACACGGCCACTGCTGTGAGGCAGCCGGGGCCACGGCCTGGATGGAAGAGGCCGTGGTGCCGTTTGTTTTCTTTGTAAGGCTGTAGCTGGAGGACAATCGCGCTGGGCTTGCCAAAACCCACAGAGCCGAGGCTGGTCAGGTGCTGCGAGCAGAGGTAGCACAACACACTGGCATTGTCTCGGCTGACAGGCAAGGAACAAAGGCCTTTTCTCTCCAGCCCCGAGCTCGAGGATGAAAAAGGTACGGGAAGAAACAATGGTGTTCTGAGCACACACAGCAGAGCACAAGGAGGGCGTTCTGTTCTCCGCCGGGCATTCCTTCAATTCATCATTTATGAGCTTTGATCAAACCCTGCGGAGCACTTGCTGCTTGGAAAAAAAAAAATTAAAAAAAAAGTAAAAGCCTCTTTTACAGCCATGAGAAAAACAAAAGCAGTTAAAAAAGACATGGGACGCATCTGCTTTCTTTATCCTTCATTGCTGGGCTGCTGGTACTAAAAGGCGCTTCACACAAACAACAATGAAATGTTTATATTCTCCACTGGGGGGGAGGGGAAATAAAATCAGAGTTTAAATACCAGCAAATAACTCTGACCCTCAACATACTTATTGTTCTGCATCTTCTGCTGTCTAGGTTTGCAGCCTAGAAATCAAAGCAACCTCCAGAATGCATAGCAGAAAGAGGCCGTACCTTACTCAAGAAATCATGAAAAGGCATATTCCAGCATGTCACTGCATCCAGAGCCAGCATGGTGCCCCTGCTACCAACACAGGAATCCTGAACCATTCACACCCACAGGTATGGCAAGGATTTGTCTGCTGTAACTGCCTCTGATAACGGCAACACCTCCTTCCATACACTTAGCTTTTGCCTAGATTTTGTGGTACTTCCCTCAAATCTCAGGCATCAGGAAAGAGACCAATCTCACAAAACATTTCTATCAATGAGCCTGGTAATTTGTAAGTTTCACATACATACGTATATATCTGTGAACACAGCTCAGGGCTGGAGCTGAAAGAGCCCAAAGTATTTCGAGTGGTCTATAAAAAGCCTGGGACTGCAATACAGGAGGTGCGGGCAAATGTTTTCTTTGCATGTTTGTTTCAGCATTGACCTGTGGTTGCACGTAGGGAGTTAAGCTAGCAAAAGCACTAAGTTAGCCAAAACAGTGTTAAACAAGGGCAACAGAAATCTGAGCGCCAAGACTTCCACCCGTTTTTTGAAGGTTCACAGTAGATCTCCCTGCTAGGAGCACAGTTGGGTCCCACACAGCAGCAGGCAGTGCCTGCGGAGGAGCTCATGTCCCCTCCGGTCACACACATGTCCCTCACATCCAGCAGGCACGAGGTCTGTGGCTGACCCCGTTCTCAGGTTAACAAATCATGAGCCAGCTTAATGCGTTCCACAAGAATAAAACTCTTCATCTTTTTACATCACTGCTGCAAGAATGCAGTTTTAAAGAGGAAACCTGGCCCTGGCCCAATGGTTTTGACTCGCCCTGCTAATGCAAGTTGTGCTGAATAGCTTCATCACGAGCTCTTTACTCAGGGAGGCAGTTATCTGCAAAGAACATAACATTTCGGTAACCGAGATCCAGCAAACATGCCCGGAACAGCCAAATAAAGTGTCACAGTCTTTACTCACTGGATGTTTTGCTTTTGCATCCCCCCGAGTAGGAAGATCAGGAAAATAAACTCCCTCCAAGAAAGAGTCTGCCTCAGTGAATTAAATGTCTGTGTCTCCACAGGGAGCATGGTAATTGCACTGAGACCTCACTCACGCAGAGACAGTCGAATCAACAGGAAGGAAAAATTAAAAATTAAAGACCTGTATTTTAATTAAGCCCCATAGAAGTCAAGAATAATAACAGCTGCATCCACAGCTATAGGGGACTCCAAGTGCAAGATGGGAGCTGGGGCAGGAAGACTCTATCTCACTACACAGATATCCTTTGTCCAGGTTAAAAGCTGGGAAGACATTGTTCCTAGAGAAAACATTTCATGCCAGGAGCACTCTCCTCTGAGGTCTTTAAGCCTCCATCAGCCGATGGCTGTAAGGAAAGAACTGGTCTCCATTTGGTCACTGGTCAGTTTCACCTCACCCACATTATTTCAGCATTTTAGGACCGCAAGCAGCCTCCCACCCCGATGCTTTCAACCTCAACTTCGAGCGTTTTGCTCCGAGCTGACACTACACCCAAGTCAGTCCCAAAATAAATTGCGAGGCACTTGAAGGAGAAGTGGAGGGAGACACCCGCCTACACACACACTTGCCCAGACAAACAGAGCCATTCTGCACATAGCTACAGGGGCGGCTGTGCAGGAGAGGCCGGAGGGAGAAGCCCTGCACAGCATTTTTTGGAGACAGCTGCTTAAGTAAGGTATGAACGCGTGCAGCACACAAACAGCCAACTGCACAGGGGGCTTCTTACACCCGCTTCCCCTATGCCCAGGAAGGGACGGACAGCCCAGGGATGTACTCATTGCTGCACCCATACGCCGAGGGCAGGGCTCTGTACTGGCCTAAGAGAGTTAGCCTGGGGAGAAAACGGGGGAAAAGAGCTGTCCTGTAATGCCACTAAAGGATCAGAGTGGGACCTCCAGGCAAGGAGATCAATGGTAGAAGCCACAGGAAGAGTGTTTCTTCACTTGCCAAAGCATGAGAGATAATTCTCTCAAAATTACCTAATCTCAGTCCCATTCTCAGGTAAACTCCAAAGCATGAACCAAGTCAACGAGGAGACAGAGGTCAAGCACCCCAGTTTCTGTCATGCCAGAAACGTAACCTGAGCAACTTGCAAAGAAGCATAATGGTCCTCTATTAGCCTCTGCTTACTTCTCCTTCGTTCACACTTACCACACTTAGCTTCACAAGCTAAACAGC